GTGCATACAGTGCAAGTCAGTGTCCTAACGAAGCGATTTGTAGCCAGCTTGTAGAAACCTCTTAAAGCATGGACGTTTCATCAAGTGATCTATCAAACAGATTTGAGCTAATCACTGTTGTGCAAAACAAAAGCTAATTACGTGTCGCTGGTTGACGTCACCTGCATCGTGCACAATCAACACTTCCTTTGTCTGATGTAACAAGAATATCACAAGGTTACCTGACGTCGCGTGAATCTCATTAATCTACAGCTGTCCCAAAAAAAGGTACACCATAAAGAACGAGATAATAATGAACAAGCTATGAACTTAATGACTATTATTGTGATTTTATCATAAACTAGGGGCAGTAAAGATGAAATACACTCAACCAAAAAAGAAAGTCCCCTACTTCCAATACTTTTTTGTCTAACTCAAAAACTTCTGGGCACATCTTGCTCAAATTACGACTGATCAGTGCAGAAATTCTTTAGCAATCCAGCCGTACTCTTTATTTGGCCCGAAACGGTAATAATGTGTGCAAATTTATGCAATTTATGACAAATGATACCGAAAACAGTTGCACTTTTGTATACGTGCATGTTGCGGTTCACACTCGCCTTGCAAGTGTACAAAAGTGCAACTTTTTTTTCGGTACCACTTGACAAACTGCATCATTTTGTACAATTATCACTGTTTTCGGCCAAACAGAGTATGGCTGGATTGCTAAGAATTTTCTGCACTGATCAATTGTAATTTGAGCAAGATGTGCCCAGTAGTTATTGAGTTAGACAAAAAAGTATTAAGGGGGCTTGCTTTTTTGGTTGAGTGTATTAAGTAAATTTATTCTGGAACTTACGTATTGCAACTTCCGACGTTGCGTCATAAACCATCGGATTTCGTCAGGCAACTGATGACCCTTTGGCTCAGGTCATTATCAGCGTCCAGAACCCAAACCGGTCTTAAACATCTTGTTTAAAACCAGCCAAACACATATTTATTCCTCATTATAAACTGTAAGTGCATGTATTTTGTATTTTGCAGCTATTTTAGCTGCTATCTCTTTGAATGTTCAATTGAATAATTCAGTTTATTTTTTTATGAACATGTGTTATTTTTCTATTTGATAGTTTCTAATGCTCTTGCCAAACCTGCTACACCACCAGCCCTGTTGCAATATTTTCACAAGAAAATAGATATGACAGAATAGTGGTACAAAAAAATAATTTTATTGTTGCTTGTATGTGCCAATTAGAAAAGGTACACTTCTGACCTCTTTTAATATATTCCCATTTAAAAGCACTGGGCAGTGCTGCATTTGTCTGAGAAAAATTAATTTCATTATCATGTATCTTGTAAGAGACTTTTTTCTCTCACGCAGGGCTATAATCCTGTTGGAACAAGTTACTCCAATTCTTAATTTTACAGTATATCGAGTAATATGTAGGACTTTGAAACCTAAATGTGTTGTAAACAGATGAAGCATGGAAGGTAATTAATAAATACGCCTTTTTATGGAAAACATAAAAGTGATTGATAAATATTTCATTTAAATTGAAAAAGTTATTCAATTTCGACGTGGATTTAACATCACTCCTCAGATACGTCGGTCTGTAATATATTCAATATTGACTGATTGAAGAAATGAGATTTGAAGGTTTGCATGGTGGAAAGATACTAAGACAAGATAAGTTTGCGGTAGCACCATGTGAATAAATCTCTAAATCTCATGTGAATATTTGTGGTTCTGAAAAGAACCGGAGGGACTCAACGTTTCGAACAGTATGCTCTGCCCGGCGTCAGGAGAAATGCCAACATCCACCATGATTATCAGTACATGTTTTAAACGTTGGCTTGAACAGTAACTTGAAATATCTACGTTGATTCAATGGTTGACATTATGGTTGGCTGGTTTGGGCTTGATATTTATATTGGTTGGAGGGCATGGGTTGATAGTGATATGGTTGTTGGTTGGGGCTTACAATAGGACATGGTTCGGGGGTGTGGTGTGGTTTGAATGTTAGGCTCAAAATATATATAGCAGAAGGCAGGCTCATCTCACTTTTGGCTAAATCAAATGCCGATTGACAGAGTAACAATCTCGGTTGCCACGTAATGTGGAGCTGCGGAAGGAAATTCACCCGCGTTTTCCCTATTTTTTTTTGGGGGGGGGGGGAGGGGGGTGGGTGGTTGGGTTCGCCCGCTTATAATTTAAATACAGTTTTTATGCTTTCTTGTTTGCCCTCCAGAAACAATTTACAAACGTTTGGTACATCGTTGAATTGGTACTACATGTTTTCCCCTGAATTGTCATCAGCTCAGAATGTGATCTAATTGTGCTCATAACGCTCATTGTGCTTATAGCGCTGGGGGTGGGGGGATGGCTCGGCGGCCCAACGGGGGGCGGGGGGGGGGCGCCCCCTAAATTATCTGGTGATAAATTCTTAAATTATTGAATTAATATTATTTTTTAACGAAAAGTTTCGTATTAGTTTCCATGTTTATCTGTATGACATATATAAAAGTGATGAATGAAAAACAAAACGTTTGCTTTTAAGGTCCAAAAAGAAGTCTCCGGTTTCTGGTATGCGCGTGCGTCGCCGTAGCCATGCGCGTCGGCAAAATGAAAAAGTTTTTTTTTTCAATAAAAGATGATGTCTCAAAACCGCCAAACTCACTGGTTTGACTGGAACCCTGCTACTGCACAGTTTTAACGTGTTTTTAGATAATTTATGATCGAGAATAAGCTTTATGTGGCCTCTCTGGACTCCCATATATTTACACAAAGTTTAGTCGGGCACCATTTGCCGTCATCAGCCGACATTTGAAGCACAAAAAAAAACCGGTAAAAAAAAAAAAAGCCGCGTCGCCGCACCACTTTTGGGCCAAGCTCCATACCAGAAACCGGAGACTTTTTATTTGGCCTAATAGCCATCTACATTACTTAGGCCGGGTTGCCCAATAATGAAGACAATTTGCACGAAAATGAGCCAGGGTGAATTCCATGCACTTGACAATCCTAAGTGTGCTTACCTGTTGCACAAACTGTTCCGAGAAGTCCCAATGAAAGGCCTAGTCGAAGAAGCCACATCATCAGGAACTTTTCCACTGTTTTTCAGGCATGCAAGTCAGTGCCCTACAAAAGCAACTTGAAGACGAAGTGAGCTTTTATAACCTGGACGATTCTTCGCGAGATTAAAGTGTTTTGAGCAAATGACGGTTATGCAAAACAAGAGCTAATCCCATGTCGGTTGATGAAGTCGTGTTCAATCAACGCTTCCTTTGTCTGGTGTAACAAGAATATTACATGATTACCGGACGTCGCGTGAATCTCATTAATCCGCCAGCTGTCCCCAAAAAGGGCACACCACAAACAAAGAGATAATGACCAATATTGTTGTTTTATCATAAACTAGGGGCAGTAAAGATGCAATATTCAGTGAATCTTATTCTGGAACTTACGTATTGCAACTTCGTCCGGCAACTGGTGACCCGTGGGCTGGTCACGTGATAGACGGCTAGGAATGCCTTGGATGGCCCGCTGGCGATGTTTTCCAAGCCACATGCTCGCTATTATATATAGAATTATGCCGGAGGGTCCTATATATGCAATAGTATGTTTAAAACTACCACATCGATCGACTGTAGTGTGGATATTACATTGGATTACAAATCCGATGGTGTGAGTTCGATTCCCATCGGATGCTTTTTTTTTTAATTTCTTCTTCTTTACTTCTTTTTTTTCTCTTAAAAAGGTTTGTTCGTCATTTGGAACATTTTTCTTTTACCAATATGTGGTTTGGAGGGTGTTTTTTTTTCAAGGGAAATAAAGTCCGACAATCTGACTTGCAACTCAATGTACTTCGAAATACGCCCATCGCGTACGGAAAAAATATCGCGGCCCGGGGCCGGTTCCATGCATGAGATAAGTTAAAACGTAGCCCGGCATTTTGTTGAGGTATGGCTCAGTGTTCTATTTTTTCTCAGATGGCTTCTCCGATGCCTCTTTTTTGCCGATGTTCATCTTTGTCTAGGATCACAATTCTCTCCCTACCGAAACTACGGCCAAAATTTACAGGAAGAAACACAGCCGAGTTGTGTGACTCATTGGTGCTGGGTCTCCTTTGTTGGCATATTCTGGATTTTAGTGCTTGTTTGGTTTCTCCACTGCAATCTTTGTCCCCGCATGCAATTTCATATACTATATGGGACGTTACTTTGTCTGTGCGATCGTGTACTTACGGGCCCTTGTAGTTAAGACATTAAGAACACGCAGGTATACAAGGGCGGATCTAGAACAAAATTTTTTTTGGGGGGGGGGCAAAATAGTGTTCCCTAAAAAGTTGATTCAAAAATTTACGGTGTGGGGTTTATGATCCTACTTTTTTGGCATTTATTATTAAATTCTGATAAGTGATAACTACATAACCATGTTAACGCCGAGCACAATATCTTTGTAGCCTTAAAATAAACTGTGAAATGTCGCATTTGTTTCATCGGTTCGGGACCACATCTCTCTAAAGCTTTTTGATGAAAGCCTAATTAAAAACAAAATTTGTGTCACCTTTGACGTTTATCTCCCTGGTAAATACTTCATCTCATGACACCAAAAGTGTACAATACGCCATCTGTTATATCATGAGGTATTTATTTCTTTTAACAATTGTGGAACAGGAAAATCTTACATAAGGAGTGGTTTTGCCTAAAGTTTTATGAATATTTCCGTTTTAGATGTCATGCAATAAACCGACACAATGGCACACCTGGAACATCCGCGATTAACATGCCAACGGATATTAATGCCCGTCATCACGCGTCCAACCAATTAAGGCAAGTCCGCTCAGTGCATTTTGTACTAGAGCTCAGAACAGTCGTTACAAAACAAAACCCGTTACAGAGGAATATTATGAGGAAAACCCACGGAATCAGGTAGGGACTGAAAACCCAATCCACATATTGGCCCGGGCGGGATTCGAACCCGGGTCACAGCGGTGGAAGGCGAGGAAATTACCGCTACGCCAACCTGACTCCTTTACATTTCGTTCGGAAATGAAAATCGAAATTTTGATGAAGCACGTATATACCAACTTGAGCTGTTCCAGTATTTGTAAAACCAGACACCAACGTTTGAGCAATATTTAGCTACACTTTGATGCATCTGTGACAGATATGGCAATGACAATAGGTTCATACATTTCTATGTCAACCAATTTTGTATTAACTCAATTTGGACCAGCATTACATGTGAAAATAACAAAAAGAAGCTGTTGAATATGTTGGAACTTGGGAACAACACTCACAGGTTGTTTTAATAAAAAGAAAATCATTAGTCATGTGCTTTAGGATAACAATGAGGACTAGTATTTTTAGACGTCATGCACAGCGAAATAATATTTATTACTATAACACAACATATTAACATTAATATGGATGTATTATTTTTTTTTTAACTTCAGCACTCACTTGAAACGTTCTTGCATAATTTCAATTAAGGGTTATGCAACTTGAGATCAATGCAACACAAGTAATGTCAATACCATGATTGAGTATATTCCTTTTATATGCAATCAAAACATTAGGCGTAAAATATAAATTAATCTTTCTTTGTTTTTCCTTTACACTTATATTATTGAAATTTTAAGTGCATTTACAATCTGCTTTTGTATACAAGTTAAGTTTAGTTTACTTAATAAATGCACGTTTCCAACCATATTTGCGATTGAACATCCCAGAGACAAAATGATAGGCTTTTGAAGGGAAAAAAAGTTTCATTATGGACAACTTGAAAGAGGAGTGACAGGGCCTTTGACTGTTAATGTTGTGTTGAGCACGTTGGAGCCAACTTGTCGTTTCTGACCAGGCTGCTGACCGCCGGCGAACACAGTAAACATCCCAGGCTCTAGAACCATTTCAGTGGTGAACACCGCCCTCACGCGGGCCGGCATTTTCAGAAAGAACGTCACTGTATTATTCACGGTGGCTTTGAAGCGGTCAAAAGCAGCAAGCTGGATGTTCGGCGTGGGAACGGTTGCGTTGTGCCACCGAATGTAGACTTGCACTACCTGGGGGAAAGAATCAAACGACCAAAAACTTAACTGTCAATTTTGAAAATAAAATATTCAAAAAGGGTTGCTTAAGAAGGCCAGACTTGTATTTTGCGATGTTACCTTTTAAATACTGATGTACAGCTGACTTTCCCTCAATTTGGCAAAACGTGTTTAGGTATGAGTAGTGTATACTGCGTATTTGACCCCGTTTTCTCAAGGAGGATCATGATCCTCATCGAGGATCGTATCGGTAACCCCGACGAGGATCATAAAACGGGGCGTGTCTGAAGCGTAGTGACGTCATTGATCGATGGACAAATCGATCGTGGGATTAGCTCTGAATGAGTATTATAGAGTTCGAAGATTATTCTACATGTACAACAAATAAGGAAAACCATATGATTCTAACTATCGAGACGCGGTGTGTGAATGTAGACGAAAGAGCACTTCCCAATTCCGGATGAAGGTGAATTTCGATAGATACAGTTCTCAACATGCTTTCTTGAATCAAACATTATTTTATATATATAAATGTGTACGTATACCATAAATATATATTTTGTCGCAAAACAAAACAAACGCAGGGTATTAGAAAAACAAGAAATAACATTGAAGTAACCCACAAGACGTACAAGACGCTTCAACACAAACCGTAACTAAATATCAAAAACATAAAAAAAGTACACACAGAACAAACACGGCCACGTTAACACCAAAGCTTAAATCATAAAGTCCGAATCTAAAAACCTAACTTAACAATCATTCAACTGCAAACACAAAAGGACTTAAACAGAATATTAAAAACCACGGTCCGAATCTAAAATCCTAACTTAACAATCATCCAACTGCAAAAACAAAAGGACTGAAAAAAAATATATATTAAAAGCCACTGCATAAAAATTATATCCTTAAACAATAGAAATACACAACTCTTAATAAAAGACGACTCGGGGTGCCTAAAACCAACCGGAACTCACCAGAACATTCCTTGAGTGGTCAACGGGCGATATACAGTTTTCAGGTATTTTATTCATAACCACAGCAAACATACAATATTAAATTAAAAGCAAGCTAAACTTAAAATTTACATATTATTAAACAAATTAATACATGTAATAATAATAAATAGATAAAAGTGAAATAATTGAATACACAATGCACACACATTGGCAGATTAATTCGGTTCAGTTCGCAGTATAACAAATGATGAAAGATTTATTATTCAGTCTGCCCTCAAAACTTTACTTTTTCGTATATGAACGAACGAAGATATTAAATACAAATGTAACAAAAAATAATAACAAAATAAAAACAAAATACGGCACTTTGCCGTCCTGCCAGAACACATTTCAATGACTCGCAAAAAAAGATTATTTGCAATTGTATTTTGACTTCCCGCATCCATATTTGTAGTTTCGTATTTTTGAACGATTCATTACAATTACATGTACATGTATTGTAATTACGCGGTCCTCCGTCCGTATTTTAACAAGTTCAAGAAAATAATCATTCAAAAATTGTTTGAAAATGCGCACAAGCGCATGATCATAATTTACAATGTTTTGTTTTTTGAGCAACACAAGTTCCAGTTAACTTATTGTAATAAAAGACAGGTAGCCTAAATGTATACACTTCTGGCATCACTTCAAATTAGACGTTTCGTAATTATTGAGCGTTTTAGAAGAGTTTATCTTGAAAAATGGGACGCTTATACAATACTCATAGCTCGTTACCCGGTCAATGAAATTTTGGGAAACTCAAACGCTTGTTATTTTGCGGAGGCTGTGACAACCAGCACGAACTAAACGCGTATTTGCTCATCAAGTCTGGCGAATGAATCGTACTCTGTTGTTTGTTTATTTCGTTACTTAAAAATACAAAATAGGCTACCGTGGTTCTTATAGATCTTCCGTGTAAGTTAGGACCATAGCAAATATGGGGACGAAGAAATACTGTCAAAATTTAAGTTGCCGATTGCCGTCGTATTCGCGCATCATCCACCCACAAAACGGGTCCGAGTTAGTAGTATCACAACGGCCTTTGTATTTGGATGGGGAATCCTATGACGTCACAGTGATGAGTCATCGATGGACGGCAAACAGAATGACCAGTCCAGACTTGTCCGGTCGTCAAGTCCGAATGCGCGGTGGTTTTAAATATCTCCATCGGCGGTACACAGCCGCCAGTGCCAGTGACGTCATTGTGATGATTCAGAGATGAACGACAAACAGGCTGACCAGTCCAGACTTGTCCGGTCGTCAAGTCCCAATTCGCGGAGTTTTTAAATACATGTACATGTACATGTATTTCCATGCACACACGATCAGCGGTGTGAACCATTTCAACGTTAGGTAAACGTTTGGTGCGCATCGGCCAGGTGAATGAATGCAGTTTATATATGCAGTTGGTTTTGAATTCATCACGACGATCGAACTAATCCCCTACACAAATTCAAGGTAAGTTTATGTCTCAAGATATAATTATTATCATCAACATTTTTTTCTCTTTTTTTGGGGGGGGGGGGCAGTCCTTTGTTAATGATTTTGCAACGTCGGCGTGATACATTGCACATGATAACATTTTGTTTGTTCGAATCGTTTGGGTGATAATTGTCCAAGACAAATTTATTTTTTCTTTTATTACCTCAGGGTCGACCTAATCCTCTCGATGCAGTTTTACAAGGTTTTCTTTTCTACCAAAGGCGCTATAGTATACTATTATTTTAAAAATTACAATAGTCTTTCTTAAACTACTAGTCTTCAGTCATCACTGTCTTTAATCCACGCTAGTGTTCCTCAAGATCTTGGAACAGTCCGTCAAATTTGGGTTGGTGTTTAGGCATTATCCTGTTGAGGGCTGTATTTACTTCTGTGCCTTTATTTATTTTTTCTTCCAGATCTTCAACAATTTCTTGATGAGTATCGTTATCTTTCAAATGTAGGTAACTTGACAAAAAATCCTTGTAGTTGTTGAAAAAGCATCGCTTGACTGCCCAGAGTGTCTTCCTATTTGCTTTTTCCTTGGCTTGATCTTCACCCATACACCCGTTGACGTACTTTTCATATTTCTCACTCCACATCTCTTCGGTGGCGTCTTTGGCGTCTTCCAACCAGTCTTGATAGGCGACATTGTCTTCCAATTCAGAACTAGACTCGTCTTCATCCGATAATTCGTCTTCTTCTACCTCCGTTTCGGATTCCGAATAACCTTCCTCGAAATCTTCGCGTTCGTTCTGCGAAGATTCGGCTTCATAGTTGTCTATTTCTGAATCTTCAAATGACTCATCTTCATCCGAAAATACGCCTCCTTCTGCCTCCGTTTCGGACTCCGAATAACCTTCCTCGAAATCTTCGTCGTCATTCTTCAAAGATTCAGCTTCGCAGTTTTCTATTTCCGAATCTTCAAATAACTCATCTTCATCCGATAATTTGTCATCTTTTACCTCCGTTTCGTATTTTGAATAATCTTCATCGAAATCTTCGTCTTCATCCTGCGTAGATTCAGTTCTACAGTTTTCTATTTCCGAATCTTCAAATCTACGCTTTTTAAAATCAGGTTCAGTATTATCCACATCAAGGTCCTCCACTTTAATTTCCTCCTCAGCATGTACATTTTCTATATGCCTCCGCAGGTTATATCTCCGCCCAAAGCTCTTGTCGCACTTATGACAAACATTGTATTTGACTGCAGAAATAGCATTCATGTTGAGTCTTTGAAGGTAAATCTCCGAATGGCAAGAAACGGATGAAAACATTTGAAATGTAGCTACTCAGTTCAGCTACTCGTGCTCTTTTGCTCACCCATGCTCTTTTATTGCTCATCTGTTCACGTCTTGCTCTTTTAATGCTCCTTCGTTTCATGTCTTACTTTTGTTCGTTTGCTCTTTTCTTGCTCTTTTCTTGCTCCTGTCTTGCTCTTTTTTTTTTTGCTCTCTGCTCTTTTCTTGCTCCTGTCTTGCTCTTTTCTTGCTCTCTGCTCTTTTCTTGCTCTTTTCTTGCTCTCTGCTCTTTTCTTGCTCTTTTCTTGCTCTCTGCTCTTTTCTTGCTCTTTTCTTGCTCTTTGCTATTTGCTTGCTCTTTTCTTGCACTTTTCTTGCTCCTGTCTTGCTCTTTTCTTGCTCTTTGCTCCTTTCTTGCTCTTTTCTTAGCTGTCTTGCTCATTATCAAGAAATGAGCAAGAAAAGGAGCAAAAGAGCAAGACAGGAGCAAGAGAGCAAGACAGGAGCAAGAAAAGAGCAAGAAAAGAGCAAAGAGCAAGACAGGAGCAAGAAAAGTGCAAGAAAAGAGCAAGCAAAGAGCAAAGAGCAAGAAAAGAGCAGAGAGCAAGAAAAGAGCAAGAAAAGAGCAGAGAGCAAGAAAAGAGCAAGACAGGAGCAAGAAAAGAGCAAGAAAAGAGCAGAGAGCAAAAAAAAAAAAGAGCAAGACAGGAGCAAGAAAAGAGCAAGAAAAGAGCAAACGAACAAAAGTAAGACATGAAACGAAGGAGCATTAAAAGAGCAAGACGTGAACAGATGAGCAATAAAAGAGCATGGGTGAGCAAAAGAGCACGAGTAGCTGAACTGAGTAGCTACATTTCAAATGTTTTCATCCGTTTCTTGCCATTCGGAGATTTACCTTCAAAGACTCAACATGAATGCTATTTCTGCAGTCAAATCCAATGTTTGTCATAAGTGCGACAAGAGCTTTGGGCGGAGATATAACCTGCGGAGGCATATAGAAAATGTACATGCTGAGGAGGAAATTAAAGTGGAGGACCTTGATGTGGATAATACTGAACCTGATTTTAAAAAGCGTAGATTTGAAGATTCGAAAATAGAAAACTGTAGAACTGAATCTACGCAGGATGAAGACGAAGATTTCGATGAAGATTATTCAAAATACGAAACGGAGGTAAAAGATGACAAATTATCGGATGAAGATGAGTTATTTGAAGATTCGGAAATAGAAAACTGCGAAGCTGAATCTTTGAAGAATGACGACGAAGATTTCGAGGAAGGTTATTCGGAGTCCGAAACGGAGGCAGAAGGAGGCGAATTTTCGGATGAAGATGAGTCATTTGAAGATTCAGAAATAGACAACTATGAAGCCGAATCTTCGCAGAACGAACGCGAAGATTTCGAGGAAGGTTATTCGGAATCCGAAACGGAGGTAGAAGAAGACGAATTATCGGATGAAGATGAGTCTAGTTCTGAATTGGAAGACAATGTCGCCTATCAAGACTGGTTGGAAGACGCCAAAGACGCCACCGAAGAGATGTGGAGTGAGAAATATGAAAAGTACGTCAACGGGTGTATGGGTGAAGATCAAGCCAAGGAAAAAGCAAATAGGAAGACACTCTGGGCAGTCAAGCGATGCTTTTTCAACAACTACAAAGATTTTTTGTCAAGTTACCTACATTTGAAAGATAACGATACTCATCAAGAAATTGTTGAAGATCTGGAAGAAAAAATAAATAAAGGCACAGAAGTAAATACAGCCCTCAACAGGATAATGCCTAAACACCAACCCAAATTTGACGGACTGTTCCAAGATCTTGAGGAACACTAGCGTGGATTAAAGACAGTGATGACTGAAGACTAGTAGTTTAAGAAAGACTATTGTAATTTTTAAAATAATAGTATACTATAGCGCCTTTGGTAGAAAAGAAAACCTTGTAAAACTGCATCGAGAGGATTAGGTCGACCCTGAGGTAATAAAAGAAAAAATAAATTTGTCTTGGACAATTATCACCCAAACGATTCGAACAAACAAAATGTTATCATGTGCAATGTATCACGCCGACGTTGCAAAATCATTAACAAAGGACTGCCCCCCCCCCCCAAAAAAAAAGAGAAAAAAATGTTGATGATAATAATTATATCTTGAGACATAAACTTACCTTGAATTTGTGTAGGGGATTAGTTCGATCGTCGTGATGAATTCAAAACCAACTGCATATATAAATTGCATTCATTCACCTGGCCGATGCGCACCAAACGTTTACCTAACGTTGAAATGGTTCACACCGCTGATCGTGTGTGCATGGAAATACATGTACATGTACATGTATTTAAAAACTCCGCGAATTGGGACTTGACGACCGGACAAGTCTGGACTGGTCAGCCTGTTTGTCGTTCATCTCTGAATCATCACAATGACGTCACTGGCACTGGCGGCTGTGTACCGCCGATGGAGATATTTAAAACCACCGCGCATTCGGACTTGACGACCGGACAAGTCTGGACTGGTCATTCTGTTTGCCGTCCATCGATGACTCATCACTGTGACGTCATAGGATTCCCCATCCAAATACAAAGGCCGTTGTGATACTACTAACTCGGACCCGTTTTGTGGGTGGATGATGCGCGAATACGACGGCAATCGGCAACTTAAATTTTGACAGTATTTCTTCGTCCCCATATTTGCTATGGTCCTAACTTACACGGAAGATCTATAAGAACCACGGTAGCCTATTTTGTATTTTTAAGTAACGAAATAAACAAACAACAGAGTACGATTCATTCGCCAGACTTGATGAGCAAATACGCGTTTAGTTCGTGCTGGTTGTCACAGCCTCCGCAAAATAACAAGCGTTTGAGTTTCCCAAAATTTCATTGACCGGGTAACGAGCTATGAGTATTGTATAAGCGTCCCATTTTTCAAGATAAACTCTTCTAAAACGCTCAATAATTACGAAACGTCTAATTTGAAGTGATGCCAGAAGTGTATACATTTAGGCTACCTGTCTTTTATTACAATAAGTTAACTGGAACTTGTGTTGCTCAAAAAACAAAACATTGTAAATTATGATCATGCGCTTGTGCGCATTTTCAAACAATTTTTGAATGATTATTTTCTTGAACTTGTTAAAATACGGACGGAGGACCGCGTAATTACAATACATGTACATGTAATTGTAATGAATCGTTCAAAAATACGACACTACAAATATGGATGCGGGAAGTCAAAATACAATTGCAAATAATCTTTTTTTGCGAGTCATTGAAATGTGTTCTGGCAGGACGGCAAAGTGCCGTATTTTGTTTTTATTTTGTTATTATTTTTTGTTACATTTGTATTTAATATCTTCGTTCGTTCATATACGAAAAAGTAAAGTTTTGAGGGCAGACTGAATAATAAATCTTTCATCATTTGTTATACTGCGAACTGAACCGAATTAATCTGCCAATGTGTGTGCATTGTGTATTCAATTATTTCACTTTTATCTATTTATTATTATTACATGTATTAATTTGTTTAATAATATGTAAATTTTAAGTTTAGCTTGCTTTTAATTTAATATTGTATGTTTGCTGTGGTTATGAATAAAATACCTGAAAACTGTATATCGCCCGTTGACCACTCAAGGAATGTTCTGGTGAGTTCCGGTTGGTTTTAGGCACCCCGAGTCGTCTTTTATTAAGAGTTGTGTATTTCTATTGTTTAAGGATATAATTTTTATGCAGTGGCTTTTAATATATATTTTTTTTCAGTCCTTTTGTTTTTGCAGTTGGATGATTGTTAAGTTAGGATTTTAGATTCGGACCGTGGTTTTTAATATTCTGTTTAAGTCCTTTTGTGTTTGCAGTTGAATGATTGTTAAGTTAGGTTTTTAGATTCGGACTTTATGATTTAAGCTTTGGTGTTAACGTGGCCGTGTTTGTTCTGTGTGTACTTTTTTTATGTTTTTGATATTTAGTTACGGTTTGTGTTGAAGCGTCTTGTACGTCTTGTGGGTTACTTCAATGTTATTTCTTGTTTTTCTAATACCCTGCGTTTGTTTTGTTTTGCGACAAAATATATATTTATGGTATACGTACACATTTATATATATAAAATAATGTTTGATTCAAGAAAGCATGTTGAGAACTGTATCTATCGAAATTCACCTTCATCCGGAATTGGGAAGTGCTCTTTCGTCTACATTCACACACCGCGTCTCGATAGTTAGAATCATATGGTTTTCCTTATTTGTTGTACATGTAGAATAATCTTCGAACTCTATAATACTCATTCAGAGCTAATCCCACGATCGATTTGTCCATCGATCAATGACGTCACTACGCTTCAGACACGCCCCGTTTTATGATCCTCGTCGGGGTTACCGATACGATCCTCGATGAGGATCATGATCCTCCTTGAGAAAACGGGGTCAAATACGCAGTATACACTACTGGTATGTAGCGTTAGGAATGTGTAACAATAATCTGCTAACTTTTCTTAGAATGACACACAAAGTGATGTATAAAACAGTTTTGATTAACAGCCATATTTGCATGTGATAAATATGTAACTTGGTCTCACAAAATGACTTAAACACAACCAATGGATTTGCTTTGTTAAACAGCTGTACGAAATGAGCCCAGCATGCAACCTCGCATAATATCACCCAATTTATTGATTCGATTTTAATAAATCGAGTATTTGTTTGTTTTAGAATTTAAACATCTTTTTTTGTCGTACCTCGTATCCGGGATATTTCCCAGTATTGATCATGGTGACAAGTACCGTCAGGTCATCACAGGGGTTGATGGTTGTCTGTGCCAAAGTCAAGTTGGTGTAATTAAACTGGGTGAACGACAGGCCGTAACCGAATGGGTAGAGCGGGTCGCCGGTGAAATAGCGGTAGGTCCGGTCGGTCATGTTGTAGTTTGACATAGGAGGCACCTGTTGTAGGAAAAACAATGCAATGCCATCACTCTGATTGCGCCAGCATTCAAATTAAGAATATTCTCCATTCTGCAAAATAAATGTTGCCAATTGTGTACAGATATACCTATGCGATGTTTGTGATCCCGTTTCAATCTGATCTAGTTGATTCGTTGCAAGATTTTTGAATTCACAATTTTAAAACGTAGCAAGTAAGCAATATTGCAAAGATGCATATAGTCCAACAACTTATACATCGACTTCCCCCCAAAATGCTGATACTTGGTACAAAATGAAGTACAAGCAATAATTAGGCCAGGCTTGCCTATAGTCAAGCAGGATCCAAACGACTCAACAGACCTGAGACATAATGACGTCACTCCGTTACAGGTGCGGAGTTCGTGTGGGAACCAGGTGGGGAGTGGAGACGACAGCAAACTCTCTTAGGAAATCGCACATGTAAACAATTGAAGGCCCATCTATATTTAGGACGTGATTAATACTTAATGACTCACTTACTGACTCAGTTCAAGGACAAAAGACTGGCCCTTCACGTCATGCAAAAAAATTGATATTGAATTGCGATCTTTTTCCATTTCGATAAACTGTACCTGATCAAGCGATGCTGGCCAGGTGAATGGTAGCCTCCCTGCCGGCATTCCTGGATCGGCGTTGATGAAGAGTTTCCTCAGCGCCCCACCAGTTGCCTGAGCAGGGAAGAAGCACTCTACGATCGCATGGACTCCTGGGCTCTGGTCAGCCCAAACAATGTCCAGCGGACCGGCGTTGAAGAGAAGCAGAATCAAAGGTTTTCCTACAGCTGTGAGAAGTACCAATATTTGAATGTTTCCAAACCGATACAAACTTTGGGTGATACCTGGACATGTGTTTACCGTTCTATCGCACACAATATTTTCTGTTTTATGGAAATTGTTACCCATTCAAAAACTGAGGCAGAAAGCAATGAGCAAAACATTAATCTCAATGTTCGCACATGCTCAATTGGCATATTTAGGCCTTATGAAATAAATTGTGTTATTTCAATACATTTTTCGCTCGCTCTAGGTTAACTAAAAAAATATTATTTGGTACACTAGGTATTTTGCATCAAAGTTTTGTTTGGCCTCGAAGATTCAGTGTTCTGATAGTGCAAGTTATAAATGCCTGTTTGGCGCCAATGTGTTACAATCGCCTTAATATATAACTCAATAAGATAAAAGGTTTGCGGTAGTATCATGTGACAAATCTCTTTTGTGAGTTGGTGAGTTTCTGAAACGAACCGAGGGTATCTAAACGACCGGGGCAGAGCATACTGTCCGAAACATTGAGTTTCCACCGTTCTCTTCAGAGCCTCGCAAACTCACAAAAGAGATTTGTCACATGATGCTACCGTAAATCTTTATCTTATTGCTTTTCCTTCAACATGCAAACCTTCAAATCTTAATTGAAGCAACACAACTGTTCAGAATGTTATATAACTCAGTTAGGCCTATAATACTCAGTGCTATAATCAACTACTGATGTATTATACGACTGCTTTAAAGACAAGACATTCCTTAGTTTTGACCAGTACAGTCACATACCATATTTCACAGCATTCTGCAGAAGTTCCAGCTGGTATCCAGGTAGGGACATGTTATGCCTGTCCAGCCCCTGATTTTCTACCTGAGTTCCTGAAAACAAAGACATGGTACCTCATTTTCCATATCCAGCATGCAGTAAAGGACTGATATCAATGTACATTTGTGGAATTGCTGCAACTGGTTATTTGCTTTCTGCAGAACAACCCAGGGTTAAGGCAGTAATTGGAATTAATTTGGAAAATTTTGAGCTACAGCGGTACATACCCTAGGAGAGATGAAACTTTACAATAATGTGGCCCAACCCAATTACTCAGACTGCAACGATACTGATTATGTTATACATTTAGTTAAAACTTCTGGTCTGGATCTGTAGCCTATAGTTAATTATCACTTCTGTGAAAAACCAAGGCTTAACATTACCTGTGCCTAAACAAACTATCACCAAATCAGTTCCTACGACTGCATCCATGACGGCCGTTTTGTTGTACTGGTCACACACCGGGTTGTTGCATCCAGCTGCAAGTCGCCGAACCCTGCCAAGAGTTCTCAGTCCATCCCAAGGTGTGGATATGAATCTTGGGTCTGTCTGAGGAGCAAAGCTTCCAAAAAGATCTTGGGGAGAGTCGGCGAATGGGCCAACCATCTGGAACCAAGAGGAAAGAGCAACTGGGTAAAGAAACAAACATGTAACAGGGCAAGTTTAGACGCTTTCCACTGGGGGAAATCATCCGGAATTACGAAAGAAACAACAGCACGTCTGAAATACATGTTGTCAGTTTTTTTTTCTGTATTGCAAATTCAGTAAGAAAGGGAGATGTTTAGTTATGCTGTCATTAATATAAACTTAAGCTACTGACTCTTAATGAACATGGCCGTACTCCCCCAAAGCAATTCACTCTACGAAGTGTTATCTGCTCTATGCCTATATGCAGTTGACAAAAGAACTTGACTGAAGTGACTATAATATTGTGAACCTGTAAGCCCCTAGTATATCAATACATTGCCAACTCGGCTATCGAGGCCTAGAATGGCACTCTCCAAGACTCTCTTCCGTTTTGACTTGTGGAATCCTTGTAGAATGGTTCGAAACAGCTTATCAAGTTTAGACAATGCAGTAACAACAAATCAGTAGGCCTACATACCGCTAGTTTTTGAACCCCGTGAACTGGAAGCGTATTGTTCTCATTTTTCAACACGACAAGTGATTTGACAGCAGCAGCGAGGGCCAGGTTCCGGTACTGGAGACTCTGTACCATCTCCGAGGCGTTAAACCTAGAGTACGGGTTCATTCCTGGTGGGTCAAACTCCCCAAGCCTCATCCTGGTGTAGAACAGCGGCCGGACCAGCTGCCTAAGCTCATCTTCCGTCAAGAGACCCATCTGGACGGCTTTGGTGAGGTTGGTGTAGACATTCTCAGCCGAGTCAGACTGCTCCAAGTTGCATCCGGCTTTCACACCAGCTACTGCTGTCTGGAGTGGGGTTTCGGTGTAGTGATGCTTCTTGAAGACGTATTCCAAGGCATTCAAGTCACTGACTACATAACCCTTGAAACCAAACTTGTTGCGGAGGATGTCGGTGAGGAATCTCTGGTTGACACAAGACGGGACGCTGTTGATGCTGTCAACATTAAAGACCAATTATAATTGCTAAATTCCCATTATAGTGTTGACACTTTATGGACTAGACTGTGACCTAAAAACACAAGAGTATTTTACCTGTTATAACTGCACATAACGCTGTACGCTCCTGCCTTGACACATTCACGAAAGGCCGGTAGGTATGTCATATGCAGATCACGCTCTGATACCTGAAAGTCACGTAGATTAATTATTGAATAAAAACAAGGCACATTTAAAAGGTCCTTCATTAAATAATGTCATTTTACTATCCATGATGAATTCGGGGGACACCTGTTGAGAGGAAGACAGGCAATGAAATAATTAAAGTGGCTCAGCATTTCCTTCGAGAAATGTACCAGAAAAACCAACACAAGCTGACAAATATACAAGCGTAAGAAGAAAAGGGACGAACAAGCTTTATCAACAAGCAAAACAATAAGCAAACAGGCAAACCACTGAAGAAATATTTTTTAAAAGATCCCAAAGTATGATTTGTTAGTGCGCATACACATACACTTCAAGAGCGGCTCCATATACAGAATTTGAACTCTACAGGTGCTCAAATTACTACCATAAGTCAATACCGCCTGTATTCTAAACATTCTTCTTATTTCTCATTCTTTCCCAATACTTGTTAATGAGTTAGTTGTTATTCATAAGATGGAAATGTTTGCGTCGGGGTGATGTAAATCAAATTAGGTTTTGTCCTTCACCGACGTATAAACACTGTGTACTCACTGTGTTACCTCCCGAGTGAAAGTTGGAAAATATCTCTCGGGTGGGACTCGAACCCACGACCTCCTGGTCGAGTGGTAAGACGTCTGCACTAGAAAGCAGGAGGTCGTGGGTTCGAGTCCCACCCGAGTGATTTTTTTTTCCAATTTCACTCGGGAGGTTACACACTGAGTTTACAGTGTTTATTCGTCGGTGAAGGTCAAAACCTAGTTTGAGTTAATTGTTGTTTATACCCCTGCATTGAAGGTGTATCTAGATGAAGGGTAGTCCTCCGGTCCGCTGTAGACACCAAAGAATTTGCACCCGGCACTTGTTCGGATGTATCTCGCTGGGATTCCGGGGGAATATGAAGGTTCCTGCAGACCCTTGACAGCATATGTGGTCATCTCACTCACCAGGAATGGATCCTCCCCGTATGTTTCCTAGAATGGTGTAGAAATTGATTAAAAATAAATCTTACTGCTTCAATGTCTCATAATCTTTCCCACCAAAAATCAGAAGGAAATTTGGAAAATTTCGTGAAATCTTGTACTACAATTAAGTAGGCCTACCCATCAGCCTAAAAGCATTTTTCATCATAATGTTGTATTATGCCCATATAATTTGTGTGCCCTCCCTGCCCACGTAGGCCTACTCCACTTCACAAAAAAAAGATATCTGTTTATGAGCAGAAACTTTTTGATGTCTTTTACATTCATACCTGGTTCCTTCCCCAGAGTGGATGTCTCATGATGTTCACAACAGGGCTGAAGCAGCTCAGTCCGCCGTGGTCACGATGAATGCCATGCTGTGTGAAATTGTTGTACTTGGCTCGTACTTCCTCACTGGTTGCTAGAGCAACGCCTCCAGCAATAGTACGGCTGAAAAGAAGGTATTCACATTAGCCATGTATTAGTTGAGTAAGATTTAGCTGAGATTTTCTCTAGTTATCAAGGAATACTCCGAATGTTGGTCAAAGGACAAAAGTAATGGTCCAGTCTCCACCATCCCCAAAATAACATTTTGATAGCTGCAGTCAGTGTATAATTCAACTATGTTCGGCCAATTTCCTCATCTTTGGTGGTTTAACTTTTTGGTAGTTAAACAAAGCATCATCGTGCATGGATCATCAAAATAAATAAGAATCACACTATCAACCTACCTCTAAAACTATACGGGGTTCCGCGAAGAACTACGGGGCAGGCTTCGCGGAGCCCCCAAGTTCTAGGGATATTCGACCCTCTATATATAGGCCTACATAACTGTCTAATTGACAGCTATTTCACCTGTCGTACCTGAATGTCGCAGCGAGCCCTATAGCCTGAGGGTACGAAGTTGCACTCCCAGCGTCAAAATCTCCGTGCAGGCACTCCGTGTTCCAGTTGTACGGACCGATGCCCAGCCGAGGGATCGGGGGCGTTGGGCCGTTGGGGCCCGCTCCACCGCGGGCCAACTGCAGGGTGATTTCATCGAGTTCCAACCGGGAGATAAGATCGTCAAGTCGTTCCTCCCACGGCAAGGAGTAATTCTGGAAGGGAAATTCCGCTATCGCGAGTGCCTGATGCAGCGCTTGAGACAACAGCAGGCAAAGCAAGGGTAAAATGCAGTATTTGGCTGCCATTCTAACGACAAAGAGTCCGAGTCAACCAACACTGTAGGTAGTTCCTGGGTCTAAAAAGTTCGTTCACGGGCCGGGCTGGGATTATTACGCACTGCCACAATATACAGATTGCAGATGTAAAATCAGACTGCAATTGTAAACTGCCTCGTGTTTGTACAGTGAAGGACTAGCTCGCATTATTGATGCCTTTTGAACCATAATACGATTAAGAGATTCAGAGATATGATTGATAAATATTGTGTCATTCTTGGGGACGAGTCAAAGTTTATCACGTCAGAATCCCTGTGCGCCTTACATCAGTGAGCTGGCGCTATAGGCTATATACTTATCTTTCGAGGACGGTGCTGGGCTTTTATAACATGAAAGTCACGAATTTCATTTTATCTCCAAATGTTTCAATGTGACATTTTCGTTTGATTTATCCCCCTTTAATTGAATCCAGAAAAACGGATGAGAAAAATATACTGACAGCAGCCACTGTGGTGCTAAGGCGAGTTTATTTCTAAAACAAAAAAAATCGCACTAGAAGGCAACATCACGATTTCCATTACCAATTGTGATTTGTTTTGGTAGAAATTAGCCTTTTAGCAAAGTTACCTTTCCGTACAAAAAGCAAAGTCTACTAACTTCAACTAAAAAATATTATGTCAATAGCAAATATGGGCTAAATGTGGAACACAACTGCAACATGAAAAGGAATGGTGGAAGTGAGCATTACTGTTTAGTTAAAAAAATAAATACATTTTGATGCTCACAAACCGTTTGATCAACATCATACTCAAATTTCTTCGTAAAAAATGTTATCAAATAAAGCAAAGTTCAAGATATACAGACTTAACATACATATGTTAAACATGATTGCAACATGCAAACATATAAATGATTTTTAGGTTTTTATAAAATACTGTTATAATAATTGCCAAAAATATAACTTGGCGCATTTACCAAAAATGAACGAAAAGAACTATTTTGAGGATTTCTTGGTATCTAGGTGAATCTGCTCTCGAAGCTAATTAATTGTCTTTCAGTTTTGGTTACTTTGGGGTTATTCCACTTAATTTTAGAAACATTCCTGGCACCCAAGTTCAAGGGCGGATCCAGAACACAATTTTTTGGGGGGCCAAAAAAAAATTTGGTCCCCCAATAAAATTGGGTAAAAAAAATTACGGCGTGGGGTTCGGGGCCCGCTTTAGGGCCCTGAAAATTTTTTTGATTCTAGATGCTCTGTGGTGCGATCTGAGGCAATTTCTGACCACTTTAACCAATGTTTTTTTGAGGAAAAGATGGTGGTGTACTCATTGCCTGCCTTTATTGCGATGTCACATAAAATAAAAAAAATTGGTTTCGTTTTTGGGGGGGGGGCCATGGCCCCCTTTGGCCCCCCCCCCCCTGGATCCGCCCTTGCCCAAGTTGGTTTGCATTGACATAAATTGTTTGCCAGTCCTCAGTTCAAATCAATCCAAATCGATGCAGAGACAAATGTACTTTTTACTCTCTCCACCATGCATGATCAAACATTGCAAGCACCTTTCAATCAGATATTGAAATCATATCTCTTCAACCACAATATAGAGCTTACACACAATCAGACGTTAGTTTTGGTTTCACAAAATAGTCTTTAAAACAGTTAGTCAGTACAAATCGATTCTTACAAAAACGTTGTCACTATTAAAACTCTTTGAGTTCTGTACTACAAACTAAAAACACTCAAGGAATATCAAATGCTCCAAAAGCGTTTGAGAATACCAAAAATAGAAATAATATTTGGAATTGTTTCTTTTATCATCCTGTCTCCTGAAATAGGGGTGTTGGTCCAATTCGGAGTGATAATCACAATTAATATGTGAATACCAAACGTTTGCATAATAATGTTGTGCATTGAACAATCCAGTACATTGAAGGAGGCAGAAACGGTTTGAAGTCCATCATTTAATTTGGGCATATGATGAAGGACTGAAATGTGTGGACCATTCTTACTATTCTTAACCATTCAGAGAAATGAAAAACACTGCATACGAATTCAATAGCTAACAATGTACCCTGCAAGTGCTCCTTATATTACATGTCGTCTGTTAACTATGGAGGGCAGTCTGATAGTTTTGTCATCGATCCCATCACGGTGAAAGCAGATGTCAGGACATTGGAGCTTATGCGTCTCTTCTGCCCAGGCTGCTGACCACCGGCGTAGAGATAGAACTTGCCAGGTTTAACGACAAGGGTTTCACCTTGTTCGTTGTAGACTGCCCTCACACGGGCTGGAATGGTCAGGTAGTTGGTAATCTGGTTCTGAGGGGTTGTCTTCACACGGAGGAATGCTCCTAGTTGGAGGTTGGGTACCGGGTAGACTGCATCCGGCCAGCCGATATAGACCTGAATCACCTGTCATGATAAAAAGAAAGAAGATAATTTCAATATGTATTGGTTTCAGTTTGCTGAAACACCATGGAGAAAAAGCATTTCCCGAACCTCACAAATGTTTCAGATGTGTACTCAGATTTGTACGTCCTGACCAACACTTTGTCTATTACTGCCCCTCAGCAAGTTTTGCATCCTTAGCACACCAGAGAAGCCATTGTAATTTGCAAGCACAAATGAACGGATATCGCCTTGGCAATATCTGACTTCTGCTCCAGTCAAGTAGATCTCCTACAACCACAGTCATCACTTCTGACAATGGGGCTTGCACAGTACACTATGTGCTCGTTGAAGCTTGTAGAACCACTGACCTGTTGATCTTCTTCAGGTCCAAACGTATCACTCAGACCTGTACCAAAGGTCCGCCTCTCCTCTAAAACTTTGTACAAACACTGGCACTTCATTTCCTTCAGGATACATTTCTCAGCTTGCAACATCCTGTCAAGCTTCATTGGTATTGGATTCCCTCACCCTGTGTAATGATTCCCTGTCTCGAGTTAGTCATCCTCCTGAAAGTCCGAACAGTACTGACCGATATGCCAAGTTACATCTAGCACTTCTGGTTCTTCTGAGACCCAACTCTTTTTGTTTTCAGAAATAGCAACTCCACGTGGTTTACCAACAAACTTTCCATGCAGATGTTATCTTCATCACCATGTTAAGTCTCAATTGTGGCATATAACTCACAAGATACTATGGAGACTAAGTTTGTACAAAGTATAAGAAACAGCTGATTAGTCACTTAACGTTTTACGATCAACATTCTAGAAAATATAGCGTATAATTGTTGCAATTACTAACCTCATCTCCATCATAATGGCCAACATTAGTCAAGGTCACACTGACGTGCATATCATCACAGGGTTTGAGAAGAGGGTTGGACACCACGACCCTGTCGTAGTTGAACTCCGTGAAGGACAGACCATAACCAAACGGGTAGAAGGGGGTGCCAGTGAAGAAGCGATAACTACGATTGAAGAAACTATAGTTGGTCATTGGAGGCACCTGTAGGGAAAATAGTCAAATTGATTTTGATATGAGTCAATGAAGGGATGCTGTGATCAAAGAAAAAAAAGGAATTCTGAGAACACAGTGTCTGACAAGAAAAGACTATCCCACTTTAACCAATTTCATTTTCAACCAATTATTACCTTGTACTTATTCAGCAAAATCTAACAATAGTCACATCAGAGAAGGCTGATTGAACATCCAACTACTAAGACAAAGCTCTATCTTCCCATGTTCTGGTCAGCATGATCAATCTCAACATGCATGCTTTTGATACAGTCATGTTTGATTTTGTGGGTGATAAAAACATTTCAAAATCAACCTACATCATCCATAGAAGCCGGCCATGTGAACGGTAGCCTTCCTGCAGGATTGCCCTCCGGGCCATTGGTCATAAAACGAGCGACAGCCAAGCCTGCTGCCTGGGCAGGGAGCCAACACTCCACAATGGCGTGAACGTCGGGACTTTCATCAGCCCAGGTGACATTCAACGGTCCGGCGTTGAAGAGGAGTAGAACCACAGGTCGACCCTTGGCTGAAGATGCAAAGAGAACATTTACATTAAGATGGGTAAGGGACCTTAATTGATCAATTTGATCAGTTCTCAGGTTTTGCATGGCTGCCACCACTGATTCACAAGTATTGGTGCATTAAAATGTCAGTAACTGCTTCAAGTTTGCACTTGAATAATTAGCAACTGTATGTGATCTTGCATTCTTACAGGTAAAATAATTTACCATATTTGACAGCATCTTGTAGAAGCCTCAACTGAGAACCGGGCAAGTCCATGTTGGAACGGTCTCGCATCTCACTCTCTATCGATGTACCTAACAGAACAACAGGCAGTGCAAGAGTCAGGATCAATGACATAGTTTAAATTTTAGTTAAGACAGAAATCAAGAATGAGAATAACATGGTCATGGACTCTAAACTAAACAGGGCAAAGCATAGGAAAAACCACGTCAAAAGGGAAGCAAATCAGTTTTTCTCAAAGCATACCTGTGCCCAAGCACACCACAACAAAGTCCACATCAGTGACGGCATTGATGACTTCGTTCTGATTGTACTTGTCACACCTAGGGTCATTGCAGCCACCAGCATATTTCACTTTTGAGGCGATACTCTTCAAACCTTCCCTGGTTGTAGTGATGTATTCACGGGAAGTGCCTGGTGGGTAGTCTCCGAACGGATCGTAGGGCGAATCTGCCATAGGGCCGACAACCTGTTTGAATGAAGCACAAACATTACAAGGTATAAACAGCCCTGACTTTCCTAAATTCTTTTCAGATTCTTTCCAGATCCCTCAAAACATAATGCCGTTGCCTTCCTGAACAGTGGAGGACGTTGAAGTATACGGAGAAATTTCTTAATGCCCAGGGAGTGGGGTTAATAGTACAATTATCAAATGTACAAAATGTATTAAAAAACTGGCGGAGGACTCACGGCCACAGTTCCGATCTTTCCAACGGGCAGGACCTTTTCAGTGTGTTTAAGCAAGACAAACGTCCTGACAGCTACCGACACAGCCAGCTCTTGATGCGCGGCGCTCTCCACCACATCGTCCACGTTCAGCTTGGTGTAAGGGTTCATCTCTGGGGGGTCAAACTCCCCGAGCCTCATCCTGGTGTAGAAGAGCGGCCGGACTAGAGTGGTCATCTGCTCCATGCTGACCAGGCCCAGCTCTACGGCCTGGGTCAGGTGTGTGTAGACTCTTTTCCGTTTGCCTGATAGCTCCAGGCTACACCCAGCCTGGACAGCAGCCACAGCTGAATCGAGTGGTCCCTGGGTGTATTTATGTCTGGTGTACAAATATTCAAGGGCCGAGGCATCACTCGAGATGTACCCTTTGAAGCCCCACTGATTGCGGACGATGTCGGTCAAGTACTTCTTGTTGGTGCAGGCCGGAATGCCATTGATTCTTAAAAGGGGAATTAAAAATTAAGAATTCGTAAATAAAGCAATGAGGAAAGAGCGCATTTTGCAGACCTTTGTGAAAGTGATTTCGCATCGATCAATGAGTGATTGCTTTTAATAATGGCAAAGAAGATATGTCGTGAAAAAATATGCAAATACATGTACAGTCTAAGAATTCATTTTTTGAAGGCTTCATCTGGACTGACTTGTTATAGCTGCATACTAAGTTGAAGGTTCCCGCCTTGACACATTCATGGAACATTGGTAGGTAGGTCATCTGCATGTCTGCCTCACTCACCTGTTTTAGAAAAAAGTAAGATCAAGACTTTTAATTATATTAACATGGGAACAAAACACACATTTGCAAGTCACTTTGGCTATATACTACTAGCATCACTGCCAAGGTTGGTCACTTATAAGTGCGGCAAAATATATCACAGGTGAGCCAAAGTACCAAAGTGCCGAGCTTTGGACTCTGTGCCCAAGTAGCCCCTCATCAATGATGACAAAGAGTGAGCAAGGCAAACCCTTGATTTCCTTCTGCTGTATGCCAAAGACGCTACTTTTGTGCATGGTTTGTGCACATCAAAATATACTTAGACTTGCACACTTCACACAATCTGCGAATTAACAGAAATGCCCACACAGCTAGCTGTCGTGACTGAGTGACTCAAAGCACTATCTACTCTTCATACACGGAATCCACACACTCAACAAGTCATGAACTGGCCGGGGTGGTCAAGAGAGGCCGTTTGATACTTACAACGGCATCAAACGAGAATCGAGAAGATGGTATATCCTCAGGTCCATCGTAGGCAAAGATGTGTTTGCATCCTGAGCTGGTACGGACATAGCGTGGGTTGGGTCCGTGCAGACCAGCCACATATGCCTTGGCCAACTCTCCAGTCATGAAAGGATCTTCACCATAGGTTTCCTGAAGAAAGTTTTAGAGGAGTTTTATCCTTTATCAGCTGGGCATTTTCGTGAAGCTAATCAGAATATCAAGAGATCCCATGGACACTCTTATATAGGCACGTTAGGAAATGAGATGGAGTGTTGTTTTAAACAGATCCAGATGCGTCTCCGATATCGATCAACTCAAAATGGCGACTACTGTAATGAAGAGCGGATGGTTTAAATTTAATTACATTATATATGGGATTAATATGGGAGTGAACACAGATTGGCCAAATTGTTACCTGAATTCTTCCCCACAGGGGATGTCTTACGATGTTGATGACAGGACTAAAGCAGCTCAGTCCTCCAAAATCCTTGTATATCCCGTGGCTTGTGTAGTTGTTATACTTGGCACGAACTTCTGTACTCGTTGCTGTGCCAACAGCAGTAATTAGGTCAACACTGACAAAAACAGTCAAATTAATCCATTGTTATAAGACTGTTATTTGTTGATGCACTATTAAAATAGATCAACGAGCCTGGTCAAACCATGCGATACAAAACTTTGACTGGCACGTGCATCAATCAACTAACCAAAATAAACACTTCTGCAGAATTTACACTAATAATATTAAATAAAATTAAATGCTTTTAAAAAGAAACATCTGACACCCAGTCTCTTTTTATATTCTCCCTAAAAATTGGACATTTGCCAATGTTTTTCTGCTTCGAAATCCATTCTTTCTTTGTAGCTTCTTTCTTTGTGCCATACGTGGGGCCGCATCGTAAGTCCGACGCGGGACGCGTCATGGCTCCAACGCCTCATAAGTCCGAAATTTCGAAACTATAGGCGTCAGACTTATGGGCCTTTATTTGGTTGGGGGATGACATTTTGTCGGACTTATGAGGTGTCGGACAAATGAGGCTTAGGACTTATGAGCAGCCCCCCCCCCCTTGTACAAACGCTTGACGAAAACTTCCATTGTTGGTCACAATTAGGATGTCGCACTCAGATGGTGAAATACACAAGGCTGGTACTTTACTTTATAAAATGATTTTGATAATTTGGATGTATTAAGAATGAGGACAATTTGCCAGATTTTGTTGGAATGGTTTCTTCCACTTGATCATTGTCAGTCTAATTTTACTTCGATAAAATCTTGAACAACAAATGTAACACGCAGAAACATTTAATAGAATAATACCTGAATGATGCAGCAAGACCGATTGGCATTGCAAATGATGTTGCATTCCCAGAATCGACATCACCGCGCAGACACTCGGTGACCCAGTTATACGGGCCGATACCAAGTCTTGGGATGGGTCGCGTTGGGCCATTCGGTCCATAGCCGGCTCTGGCCATCTGTGAGGCGATCTCATCCAGGTAAAGTCTTGGAATGAGGTCATCAAGACGCTCCTCCCACGACAAGGAGACATCCCGGAAAGGAAACTCGGCGCGAGTAACAGGGATGGCATGCAGGAGCAGCACAGCAAGGACAGAAATGTACAGCAGTTTGGCGTCCATCCTAAATTACAGTCCTGCTGTGAGGGCAAAAATGCAGAATCCCAATTCATCGAATTACAAGCTATGATGATTCTTAAATTATTTTAGTAAAGGTGAAGGGGACGAGCCTCTCTATTCACAGTAACGGAGTGTCCATCGATCTCTCTTTCGAACTGGGCCAGACTCTTTTATGTAATGCTACAGTGGGGAGATCGCCACACCTCCTCCACAGCCGAGTCTTACCTTCCCACCCAGCATTGAATAATGCCGGTACCCATTAACACCTGGGTTGAGAAGTTGAGGTATTAAGTGCCTTACTCAAGGGCACAACACGCACGGCCACGGCGGGGCTCGAATCCACAATCTCACGAGCACTAGTAATCTTGTGCCCTACCGCTAGACCATGTACTTCACAAGTACTTCACATAATATTAACTTTCTATAATATGACAAACCGGAAATAAGGTCTATTCCACAGCTGGAAATCAAACATTATCTCCACGTTTTCCACTTGTCCATTAGTCTTGTGGACTGGTGGGAAAATGTGACAGTGGACGGAGGCAGTGGAGTGTCATGGCCTAGCGGTTAAGAGTACCGGACTCATGTTCCAGTGTTTCAGAGGCAACAGTGACGTGGGTTCGAGCCCGCCGGCAGACACTTGTACCCTTACGTAAGGCACTTAACCATTCTTGCTTCGTCCTTCGGATGGGACGCAAAGCCGTAGGTCCCGTGTGTTGTATAAGGCCTAATGCTCGTAAAAGACTTGAACCCATTAACGCTCTTCGCTAAGAGAAGGGGTTTGCCCCGGTGTTTCTGGCAGGGAGGATGTGTATACATCAAGTTGGTGTGATGTTTCCCCCGGGAAGCTTTGCCGACTATTATACAGATACAGATAGTTCGGAACACGAGTCACACCTACCAACCTCTTGAAGACTAGCTTGAACTCGAATGAAGAAGGCACATATCCAACTCAAATTAAACTCGGCATTTTGTTTTCAGATAATGAGATTCATTGCGTCCCGACTGTACAAAACCTTGTTTTATGGTACAAATAATATCACTCAAGTCTTACCTGCGGCAAACGGGCGCCTTCCTTGATGTGGAGTGATGGTACAGTTGTAATACCGCGGCAGACTGATAGCACAAAGATGACATTGTAACGAGCAATAGGCGAGGTTAAACAAGTCAAGAGAGTATGATGCGGGTAGCATGGCCAGGCTACGTGTCGTATTGTTGTATTACATAACGGCTAGGCCTTCATCGTGTATTAACTAAATTGCGCTCTCACGGATTGTTATGGTTGCAGACCAGTCAATAAACTTCCATAGACCCCAATGGTAATGCTCCCACTTAAGAAATTCGGGGAAAATACTCACAACTCTCCAAGGTGTTCGAGACACACATCAAATTAAAGCTTATTTCATCATCTTTCATTTTCTTTTCAATTTTTGGGGGTCAACTGATGACTTTTAGGAGAAATTTCCATCCGAAGCAACCCCTGGAAATAGTCCTGAAGCCCATCGCCATTTTCAAAAACGATGCCTACACCCTATTGCAAAATAGAGCGATTTAAGGGCCCCAATTTCATCCAAATTGAATGGAACTACAAGATCACAGTCCTGTGCACGGCTTCCACCCATATGTTTTACATACCCTCAAGTTCATGGCCCACAGCATGCTCAAATACTGAAGCATGCAAATCGTGATTTGGCCGGCGCAGGCAATTTCGGACCGATTTACTGTTCTGCAACCTGAGGCTGCTACAAGTGGTAGCTTATATAGCGAGTCGGTTGCGGGGTTTGGGTTGGAGGCTCCCCCCCCCCCCTTGAAGAAAGGTCAGACAAATTCGGGGCGGGGCCGCGAGGGACGGATCGAAAAGCATTCTTTGTGTTCTTTCATTTCTGTATAAAATTATAAATAAGTTGCTGGTCGTTTCCAGGAATTATATTCCACACGCGCAAAAATATCAGAACATATCTAAACACACCAAGATTTCATAGGGCTAGACATCCCCCAAAACGGCAATGAAACACAGACAGTAGGCATTTCAAGTCTTAAGAATACTTTATTAGCTCCGATAATTCCATTATTACATAATTCTAACAAATATAAAAAAACACGCCTATATGTGACAAGAGGATGTGGCGTTACCAGGGCAACGTCACCATCATCACTGACCTCGCCCATATCATTTTTTGATATTGAATATAACGCCCTCATAATTCAAAAGCTGCAAAATATTATTTCCAGAACGAAAGTATGTACTACAAAACATGTACCACAAAACATGAACTAAAAAAACAAATCTACACATTTATCAGGTACTTTAAAAGGAGAAAAGCGGCAAACAATTGGGCATAATAGCAAAAGAAATGATGAACTGCAATATTGAGTGTTGTCCTTCACCGACATATTTGTATAAACACTGGAATACGCTGTTGTCCCGAGTAATTGTGAGAAAACAAAACAAAAAAAACACTATATGAACCACAGTACAAAAATATATCATTGATATATTATATTCAAACTTTTCATATAAAAGTTAATCAAGAAAGACTTAAAGGGGAAGCCGCAGGCAATATACTTTTTCAAATGTGAACAAAATACCATGTAAAACTTTTTTTTTAAAGAATGTAGTACCCTGACACCACTTCTTTGGTTGTGCATAAAGTCAATGGAGAGTCGAGTGCATTTTCAAAGTATTTTCTAACAAAATTGGAAATGTTTCTCAGTCCCAGATTCATGTCTTTTTAACATTTTTGCAATGACTGACCTTCAGTGAGATAATATATGATAACAAAGTGGTGTCAGGATGCAACATTCTTTCCCATTTTTTACAGACAAATTAGGCATAGAAATAGTGTTGAACTTCAAAAGTTCAAATACTTGTACCACAAACAAGACAAAAATTTTGGAACTGAAACAAAATATATACAGATATATATGCTCAATGGGTTCTAGTTACGTTAAAAAAGAGGATTTTTTTTTGTAAACAGGTAAATCCTGTTTCAAAGCAAACTTGGTTTGTTTTTTTAATTTTCAGAAAAGTATATTTAATATTTGTTGTTACCGTTTAGGAGTATCAAGATTTTTGGCGTACTTTGACTACTGTACAGTGATATATGTCAGGATGATAGAAAACATTGAGTCTTGATTGCGTTGATACTAGTCTGCTAGTACTGATAACATGGCACGTACAAAGTCATAACGTGAACATATTTCAAAAAAGATTTTCAAAATGGAATTTCACAACGGAATTTCAGATATTCCTTGCACTTAATTCTGATGAGTACTCTGCAGCATGCTAAATACACAACGTTATACTGCTAGTTTGTTACATCGTCACCGACACCACAAAGTAACACTCCACGTGTTGAACCATATTTGTTTCGGTTTTCAGTTTTTTACACTTTTAAACATTATTCATCAAGGCCTACCATCACTGACCATCGCACGAAGTTTCAAAGCTTCAAGAGCTTTACTTTAATAATTACGCTAATCATCCATGACAACTTTTGCGCGAAAGTGACAATTTTCAATTTCATGAAGTAACACTCAAGTTCCATTTACCATAATAATGCATGGCGCGCACTCTTCTCAAATGCGAGCAAAAACATTTTCACGAAGTAACACTCTTCTTGTTCGAGCGTGCGCACGCTGACCTCCGTTTCCACGAAGTAACACTAACCTAGTGTTGTAATACATTGAAGCGTACTACTTCGTGAAAACAGAAATTTATAGTTTCGCAGCTCTTTTGGTTTCACGAACTAACACTCATCTTTTTTTCTCTTACTTCTTGTTGATCAATAATTACAGTGATAAATTAAGAGGAATGTTCCTTTAGAGGAATAGGGTTACCCCCCACCAGTACCTCCTACATTTGTGCCTGTCACCTATTAACTATGGAGGGCAGTCTGACAGTTTTGTCATCGAACCCACAACGGTGAAAGCAGATGTCAGGACATTGGAGCTTATGCGTCTCTTCTGCCCAGGCTGCTGACCACCGGCATAGAGATAGAACTTGCCCGGCTGGACTATCAGGGTGTCCGCCTGTCCGTTGTAGACCGCCCTCACACGGGCTGGAACGGTCAGGTAGTTGGTAATCTGGTTCTGAGGGGTTGTCTGCACACGGAGGAATGCTCCTAGTTGGAGTTTGGGTACCGGGTAGACTGCACCTGGCCAGCCGATATAGACCTGAATCACCTGTAACAATGCAAGGAAAGAACACAACATCAGTGGGGTATCGGTACACATGTAAGTATGTAATTTCACAATGTAATATTTTAGAAACTAAAGAGGTATCCACAAGTTATTCAATGGTCTACTCACTTTTTTTTTTAATCTTAAATCATTGTAATGAGACTGAAGAGGCTAAAATAAAATGAGCTAAATTAAATTTGATATAATTCAATGAATGTTTAATAATATGTTAGTGTCAGTCCATGGTTCATATACCTTATCAGCAAACAAATTGGGAAAAATGTATTGAACATCTCACCATTTCGGCAGTAAATGAATTTTCATTTCTAACATGACCTAAATTCTGAACTTGTTACGAGACTTGGCACGAGTCTCTCCACAGTGATAGGGCACTTTGAGGAAAACAAATATTAGAACTAAGAATTTGACCTCTTTTATCCTAAAATATCACTAAGAGTTCATGAAGCGATAGTATACAAATATTGAGTGGCTCAGAGTGAAATGGGAGGAATATTATCGCATTTCACGAGGCGAAGCCGAGTGAACTGAAAAAGTCCAGATTTTACCGAGCGATAATATTCTTCCCATTTCACAATTTAAAGCCACTCAATATTTGATTTATATAACTGACATATAGATCCTTGTTATTTGATATATTTGAACTTTTTTTTTCAATACCAAATTGGTGGAAAACATATTTCTCTCTTCCAAACCACCCCTTCACGAAAATATTTGAACCCAATTCTGTAGCACTGCCTCTTTGAAACAATATGCTGAACGCGCACACCAGCATGCACTTGCACACAAATACCGCATCATGGAACAAGAATGATCCTAACTGTTCAATAGTATTTCCCATTCCCCATGAGTGAATGGGACTTATTGAGCCCGGCATGAATGGGAGCAATAACGAATGTCATGTGGTGTGAGTTCCACCAATCAAATGACAAGGATCTGTACGTCGGTTATATAACAACGACTTAGAGGATAAAAGCATAGACTGAAAGATCTAATTATGTCACGCAAGTATACATCGTAGAGCGCATGCTTGATGTCATTCTAATTATTAACACAATTACTAACCTCATCCCCGGCATAGTTGCCAACATTGGTCAAGGTCACACTGACGTGCATATCATCACAGGGTTTGAGAAGAGGGTTGGACACCACGACCTTGTCGTAAGTGAACTCAGTGAAGGACAGACCGTAACCGAATGGGTAGAAGGGGGTGCCGGTAAAGTAACGATAACTACGATTGAAGAAACTGTAGTTGGTCATTGGAGGCACCTGTAGGAAAATTGTCAAGATACAAATGTCATGAAGAGAAGACTAGTTTTGCTTAACCCCTTGCCGCCGGCTGACAGCTACAGCCGCACTCCAGAATGCTGTGGTCAGCCATGGGCAGCTGCTAGGCATATGACCGGCAGTGCAGTGCCGCTACTGCCCCTTCTGCGCAGAGGCTCTATGTAGTGATGCGTGTAAGCCTGTGAAGTGAGGCGTAAAAACCCGATGGCAAGGGGTTAATCAATCTGGACTTGAAAGTCTTAAGTTAGGACACTGTCAACACTCGGTGAAACAAGTCGGTCAGTCAGTCAATCAGCAACTCATTCAGGCTAGAAAAGCTGGTCCCAAGACAAGCAAAATTGCAATCAGCTAATCAGAATGGCTATCCGTGCAGTCTTCTCGTGTTTATTGTCAGCACGACGGGTCAGATACAGACTATTCACTGGTGTAACGGTGCAATCCTATACAATATCACTGCCTGGCTCTCTACACCAGTGTAAAACCAGCGTAAGTCACATGTTACAGTCAGTGAGTCAGTCAGTGAGATAGGTACAAAAAGGAGACTAAGCTGGCCATCTGGAACCAGGAAAACAAATCAACCTACATCATCCATAGAAGCCGGCCATGTGAACGGTAGCCTTCCTGCAGGATTGCCATCCGGGCCATTGGTCATAAAACGAGCGACAGCCAAGCCTGCTGCCTGAGCAGGGAGCCAACACTCCACAATGGCGTGAACGTCGGGACTTTCATCAGCCCAGGTGACGTTCAACGGTCCGGCGTTAAAGAGGAGTAGAACCACTGGTCGACCCTTGGCTGAAGATGGAAAGGAAGTTAGTCATTTCTTGTGCCTCAATAAGGTATTATCCACCTAAAATAAATATTTTAAGGGTCCCTGACTGATCTACTGTGGGGCAGGAGCACTGGACATCAATCATGCCTCATGGCCACTGATTAACTTTAGTTAGTCACTGTCAACATTTCAATGACATAACCCATCTTGAGCAAGAATGTTTTATCGTGAAATAATAATCCAGAGGCCTTATCACACTTGAACCCATTGGGAAAGCTCCATGGCTACCAAGGCAGCCGCTTCACTGGGGATGTATTCTTTACTCAATATAGAGGAATTTTACCTTTTACACTTTGAACACACTGATTATTTTTTTAATTGAAAGCGAGAAACAAATTTCATGAATGATGTCAACAACTGTACGATCACATTTGCATTATCTATGACGTGGGCTAAATTCTGAGAGTGAATCAATATTTTCAATGTTGATCCTAAAAAAGTGAAAAATTCACCATTGATTCATCCTCAACATTTTGGAAAATGATGGATTCTTTTTCAACCCTAACCAACCCAACTCCATCAAAATCCATCCACCTTTTTGGTGGATTTTGGGGGACTTGGTTCAGAAGGCCTGGCGTGACTAAATATAGATGGAGTACGATAGACTTGGGCCTAATGGCCTGAAGCAGTGCTAGGGGTATCCGATTGATTTTGCCTGGCTTCCTGTACTGTTATTGTGATAAAAGCCATATTTAGCAAGTTCATGAATGCCAACCAGTGCGTCAGTGGTGGATTCCATTATGTCATGTACAGCTTTGTATAGAACGCACAGTGATTGATGGATTTTGATGGACTTGGTCCAGTTCCTAAAAAAGACGCGAGGGAGTTAGGGTTAATCCTTTAAAAGCTGGACCGCACTAGAGTCCGATGCTCACTGCGATACCAGAAACTGCCGTATTGCATAGCTGGCTCATAGCTGGTGCTTTTGAACTGGAATAACTAAAACAGGTGAGGTACTTTTGCGGTTTGTCATGGCTGGGCTCAAGAATTTACCATATTTGACAGCATCTTGTAGGAGCTGTAGCTGAGAACCTGGCAGGTCCATTGATGGGCGGTCTCGAGACTCGCTCTCTACTGATGTGCCTAAATCCAAACACAAAACACACAATTTCAAGGTAACAGAGTTGTAGATAAGAAGTCATGCAATACACAAGTTCAATGTAAAAGGACTTGAAAGATTTACAATCAGACAAGCATTTCAAAGTTTTAAAGCTTCAATATGAAACTGCTTGGGGAAGGTTTTAAAGATTTTGGACAGGTTTAAGGCAAATAGAGCACATTTGTGCTTAATTTTACCAAAGCAGGGGTAATTTTGAGAATATTACCAGAACTACATGAAATAAATCTAAAAATGAACATAAATGAAACGGTAATCTGGAGGTTAATTTACTTTAAATTATTATAATGCACCTACATGTAGTAAGTTTCCTTTGTGATTTATTTGAAAATTTGTAATAAAAGTTGTATCCTGTCTTTTATTAGTGATTCCTGTTTTCTATTTCCCAGGTTTGCAGCAATGCTAATGTTGCTAGCATCTGATTTTTGGGTGTGATTCCTGGCTACATTTCATGGGTTTATGGTTTCCGACATTCCTTGAATAAAGACATTGGAAATATGAGGAACCACCAACATAGGCCTAGATTGCTAAGTCTGTAGAGTGCTGGAACAGCAATAAAGAGGTTGCCGGCTGGAGTCTCACTCCAGTCAATTTCTTTATCAAACTTTACAATTAAAATGAAAAACTTTTTTAACTATACCTAACATTCGTTTATATGTCAAACATTTGTTTACCTAAATTTTTTGTTTTTTGCTTTGTATATGTAAAGCGTCTTGAGCACCTTTCAGTTGATACACTGCGCTTTATAAATCTCCATTATTATTATTATTATTACTACCTGTGCCCAAGCACACCACGACAAAGTCCACATCAGTGACAGCATTGATGACGTCATTCCGATTGTACTTGTCACACTTGGGGTCATCGCAGCCGCCAGCGTATTTCACTTTGTATGCAATCTTCATCAAGCCCTCCCTGGCTGTAGTGATGTATTCACGCGAAGTGCCTGGTGGGTAGTCTCCGAACGGATCGTAGGGCGAGTCTGCCATAGGGCCGACAACCTGTTTGAATGAAGCACCATCAGTAAATGACTGTTTATATCAAGACAGCCTTATGGTTGCGAAGGCTTTGCGTCGTGCGTTGATAAGCAAAGTTAAACTGATTACGTACTTGGACGCCACAGACAGAGCAGTGAACTGATTGCACCCCTAAAAAAAATCACTTTTTGAACGTTCTGTTTTTGAAAAAAAAATATGCTTAGTATGATTTAAAGGGAATACACATCATTTGCTTATGCTGTAATTTTCAGATAGGGATGGATTTGAGGGGTTGGTAATATATAGCAAATATTGTTACACTGACTTTTTTTACATTTTGGGTTCGAAGATGCTATAAAAACAAAAGCAATCATTTTCCTGTAGTTTGGTTCCCTGACTCCATTTAGGATGAAACGGAGCAATTTATTGACGTTGGAGAATTGTAAGGTCATGGAACCAGTCTAGATGGCTTGTACGCGTTTTTTTTTTTTGATTTTTTATTTATTATCCACATCCAACGGCAGAAAAAAATGCCAATTACAGGACTGGTTTAAATATTATAAAATTATTTTAAAAGGTGTGTAATCGATTGCAAACAAAACCAGACTAACTAAATATGGTCAACTGGGGCCAGTATTTGAAAAAAAAGCCAGTTTTTTCCAATGTTGGTCGGCCGACCAGCGTTGGAAATTGATACGAAAATAGCACTTTTCTTGAAAATGACAATATACCAGGTGCCATGATTTTACAGGATGCTTTAGACTGTCATTCACTAACACTAGTAACAGTCCAGCAAGGTATTTCAAAATAATTTGGTAGTTTTATTTCTTAACCCTAATTCCCTAGGGGGTGTGCAAAATCATATTAAAATTGGAGGATTCAGGACTGTTTGGGCTATTGTTTGCAAATGTTGTATTTTCCCTTTAAATATTAAATTATAATAGTACAACAAATCCTAAACTTCATGTCAGTGCAAAACATTACCCTTATTGATGCAGAAACGTCAATACTGGTCACTAGAAAAGCTGACCTAAAAGTTGTGGAAAAATAGTTTGAAAAGGTCCCCAAATTTATTTATTTATCTCAATTTCTAGGTATCCTTTATTACAAGTTGTTATTTCACGAGTAGTTGAACACTAATTATATCATCTAAGTATATTCCGAATTTCAGCTGAATCTGTTGTTGTAAACGCTCGTGTTACACCTTGTACTGTCACCAAGGTAAATTTCTACTCAGGTTTTTTTGACAAGCAAAACAACACGTGGCATATATGTTGGATTGTGTCGCAACGATGACGTGGCGCTTTATTATTAGCATATTGCGGATACCTATTTTAAAGCCACCTTCAATTTTAGTTTTCTTCCAAATGAGACCGTTTCAGGCGGAATAATCTCACAGGCTATTTGGTATCATTCGTTTCTTCATTTTGAGCAAGTTTGAATTGAATTGTTAGGTAATTTTTTCTGGTAATTGCAGATGTTCCTACGTGGCTTTAAAGACTAAAAGGTGAAATGAAATTTATCTGTAACCTAGGAAGTGACTGTCACAAATGGCGTTCTGAGGTGTCAGTTATACTCAGGGTTTATGTTGTAGTCAAGTCCATGACAAGGCCATCACAAGTCTGGTCAAAAGTTGATCACAAGCTCTTTTTATGAGTCGGGTCAACGGTCTGTTTTTATCACAGTTCATTTGAATAGCTTATGACTTGACTTGAGACTGGAGGGCAGTGTGACGAACTTGTGACAAACTGATTACAAGAATTAAGACTCACAGCCACAGTTCCAATCTTGCCCACCGGCAGGATTTTCCCGATGTGCTTAAGCAAGACAAACGTCCTGGCAGCTACCGACACAGCCAGCTCTTGATGCGCGGTGCTCTCCACCACATCGTCCACGTTCAGCTTGGTGTAAGGGTTCATCTCTGGGGGGTCAAACAACCCAAGCCTCATCCTGGTGTAGAAGAGCGGCCGGACTAGAGTGGTCATCTGCTCCATGCTGATCAGGCCAAGTTGCACGGCCTGGGTCAGGTGTGTGTAGACGGGCACCTTGGCCCCTGTCAGCTCCAGGTTGCAACCAGCCTGGACGGCCGCTACGGTCGAGTCTAGCGGGCCCGTGGTGTAGTCATGAGCAGTGTGAAGGAACTCTAGTGCTTGATCGTCGCTGGAGACGTAACCTTTGAAGCCCCACTGATTGCGGACGACGTCAGTCAAATACTTCTTGCTGGCGCAGGCGGGAATACCATTAATGCTTGAAAAGAAATAACCACAAATCACGTCATGTCATAAAACATGTTGAGCCCTCCTATACCTACAACTATCACAAACTGTCACAAACTCTAGCCCCCACCGCACTTGACAGTTTTTGTATAGGCTGCCCTCCAACTGCCGCAAATCCCTATGGATTCGACTGTACAACTGTCAGAGCAGATAGTATGACCACTAATACAGGTACAGCTTGTGTAGCAGCCATTTTAAAATGGCCAATTGTACCAATAAGAGGGTAGTCTGCAGATTTGGTCCAATCTGTCACCTGATAGTTTTTGACAGTTAGGGTAACGCTCTACAGATTGTCACTGAACACAGGAGGGTTTAGCTTGATTACTTACCTATGTTTTAATTCTGACATTCTGGGCGTATTTTAAAATTGTAAATCTGTTCTTTGTTCAGCAGTTTTGCTGCTATGATCAGATTAGTGATGTGTGATTAATAAAATAAAATAATGAATTAATCAAACACGGATTAATCAGAATTATTCAATTAATCGCAATTATTTGGCTGAAATTGTAGCAAAACCAAAGGCAGGATCTTATTACCTATTATAGCTGCATACTAAGTTGAAGGTTCCCGCCTTGACACATTCATGGAACATTGGTAGGTAGGTCATCTGCATGTCTGCCTCATTCACCTGAATTCAGAAAGCCAAAACAACAAAATGACAAAATCACTAAATTTCCACTTGAAATCAGCAAAAGCTTAACCCATTGAATGATTTACTAGGAACCTTCCTCACTCTTGCAAAATCCAACACCATATGGTAAACTCCACACCCAAACTATTGGACTCTGATTATGGCGGTATGCGTGACCCTGTGTAAAGCATAATCAGTTTACTAGTGCAGTACGCAGTACTCACTCCAACAGATTCCAACAAAACATGTTTGGGTTAATATCTGTGACGGTTATAAAAAGGCACCCCGTTATTTTTTGGCTCAACCTTATTTGCATGTAATTCAAATTAACCTACATTTTTTGTAGCGCCCCCAACGTCTGATATCGGGCGCTAGCTCATTCGTTATTTCCTGAAGACCTGAAGTAACACCACTTCGTGTAAATCTTGTCTAAGACAAGATTTACACGAAGTGGTGTTACTTGTCTTCACATATACAGATACGGAATAAATTCGCTGCTGCATAGACCACAACTCAAGAGCTTCCGATCCCTAATTTCAAGAGTGTCACATATCATTTTAAAAATTTCTTTGCTGACTGTGTAGTATATATTATAAGCCACTTTTAAGTGTATGCGGGCATTGTTACTGCCAATACCCCATTACTGGCAACTGAAATTTCATTTAACAAGCAAAATCTGCAGTACAGGTGACTGGACAAATTGCACAACTTGCTGGCCTAGCTGGACAACTGGGGCTAGGCAATTATGGCTGCAAAAGGAGCTAACGGCACAAACACTGACATTTACTGAGCAGTAAGCACATATACCGGGTTTGGTTACCGGCCAAAATGTCATGCAATGTATATTGCTTGCGACTGGTTTCCTGCTGTGTGTAGCAATTTGAGGAGCAGCATATTCTGCTATTAGAGCAGCGAAATTGGGCACAGGTCAGGGACTTAATTGGAAGGTAAAACAAAATACTCTGTCAATGCAGCAGGTTTTATTGCAGGCCATTTGGGGAGTCGGGTTGGCGTAGCCGTTTTTGCCTTGCCTTCTACCGCTGTGACCCAGGTTCGATTCCCGTCTTGGCCACACGTGGATTGGATTTTCAGTCCCTACCCGACTCAATGGGTTTTCCCCAGAATAATATTCTGGGCTTTTCCTCCCACCTCTAAAACTGTAATTTCTTCTCATTGTCTCCTCTCTACCGGTTTCTTAAGGCTTGCAAGCTACAGTGCCTGAGGAAGCCTTGGTTTCATTCCCAGAAATAACTAACAAATTATGATAATTTCATACTTACAACTGAATTAAATGAGAATCGAGAAGATGGGATATCCTCAGGTCCATCGTAGGCAAAGATGTGTTTGCAGCCTGAGCTGGTACGGACATAGCGTGCATCGTCTCCATGTAGACCAGCCACATATGCCTTGGCCAACTCTCCCGTAATGAAAGGATCCTCACCATAGGTTTCCTGTACATAAGTTTGTGGGTTAGAACGTTGTCACCACCGTAATATGTGACAGATGGAAGTTTGCTGAGATGTCAATCGAAACAATTAAGAGATATTTAAACAATTGTCCAAGAATATGAGAGAAAAAGGGCTGGAGAGCGGTTCCTTGTGCAAATCTTTCTACATTTCTTGCATAAAGTCAAGTTATCAGCCATCCATTAAACACAGGTTATATTTCAGTATACTTTGGGACTAGGAAAAACGACTTAACTACAACGCTGTTAACTGAGAATTAGATCAATCCTGTCCAGATGTTGTTTAATGAAAACATTTGCCACTTTATTCGCCAAATCAAATTTGAAATTTCAGTGGTTTCTGAAAAACGCCATGTGATAGGTAGTGTACTCAAGGCTTTGTTTATATATCGGGCGGGAGTATGGCCTTGTGGTTGGGGTTCGTGACTCATGATCAGAAGGTCAGGGGTTCGAATCCAGCTGCTGGCCATATGTTGTGTCCTTGGGCAAGCCACTTTGCCACCACTTGCCTATTTCCACCCAGGAGTATAAATTGATACCGGTGTCATATGAAATTCCGACTCCTATGAAAATCAGACTCCTTTTCCCTATTATTGGTTAATACCTTGCACGTGACGGTCACTCTCCCATGTATGATCTTAAAAATAGCATACCGGTAGTATCGTACTTACGCATTCGCCATACTACCAATGACTCCATATTTTATGGAGTCGGATATTTACGCTACACCGGCATTAGCTGGGGAGTAACCTGCATCCCATCCAAGGTGGAATACAACGTATTCTAAGTTGTTTCATGCCACTGAACTGGAGGTGAATGCCAGCCTGATTGGCCATATTGGCTCGTGACCGACTTTACTTATTTTTTACTTGGTTTTACATGTATGTGTAATAAAATACTTGTACCAAACAAACGGTTTTTACCTGAATTCTTCCCCAGAGAGGATGTCTCACGATGTTGATGACAGGACTGAAGCAGCTCAGTCCTCCAAAATCCTTGTATATCCCGTGGCTCGTGTAGTTGTTATACTTCGCACGGACTTCTACACTCGTAGCTGTACCAACATCAGTGAGTAGATCAACACTGAAAAATGAATGGACATTGTCTTGGTATAATTTTCTAACCTATCCGTGTACTAAGTTGAACGTCTGTGTTACACATGTATGCTTGCCTTCTAGGGTCAGGCTTCTACATGTGGATACCTAAACATCACTGGCCTATGAGAAGAAAGGATCATATTTCCAAAAAAAATTGTGTTGCGCATTTTTTATTTTGGATGTGTATACTTTAATCAGTCTTGGAAAATTAGACACTTGAATTATGCATGTACATGTGTACCTCATATGCGTTACATTGTACATTTGAGCAGGGTATGGGTACAGCTGTGTTGGATTTCAAGGCCAACCCAATGTGCTGCAATTTTTATGCCTGCCCGATTTCATGACTTATCCAAGTTTAAAAAAAAAAGACCCAATGTACATGAAACAGAACCAAAGTCACTGAAGAGTTTGAGCTGATTGCATATTTCACTATCAAAAATGTTCTTTTTACACGATCAGTGATATTTACCTAAATGATGCAGCCATACCGATTGGCATTGCAAATGATGTTGCATTGCCCGAATCGACGTCACCACGTAGGCATTCAGTGACCCAGTTATACGGGCCGATACCGAGTCGTGCAATCGGTAGCGTTGGAGCGTTGCTCTTGTAGCCTGCTCGGGTCATCTGGGATGCGATCTCATCCAGGTAGAGTCTTGGGATGAGGTCGTCAAGACGCTCCTCCCAGGACAAGGAGACATTCCGGAAAGGAAACTCAGCGCTTGTGATCAGGACAGCATGCAGCAGCACGGAGAGAAGAGGGACGTAAATAAATTTGGCTGCCATCATCTTGATTGCTGATTTACTCAGATTACAGTTCTGCTGAGAGAGTAATAATGCAGGATCCCAAATCATCAACTTGATAATGTTAGAAGGTTCATATGTATTACTTACATGTAGTTTATTTATTCACATACTTTAACTTTAACCCTAACTCCCCAGCCTAATTTACTAGGAACCATACCCATTCAGGCAAATTCCAACACCCACATGGGAAATTGTACACACACACTGTTGGACTTAGTTTCTGAAGGTATGCCAACCCCAGTGTAAAAAGACCATCTGTTTGGGGGTACTGTACCTATCCCAACAGATTTAAACAAAAACTGCTGTTGAACTTTGATTGGTTGTGTTCGGTTAGGATTAAAGACAATGCCAAACTGGAATTAAAGTTCAACAACTCTCTATTAGCTTGGAATCAAAAACTATCTCCACATTAACCCACTTGTCCATAAGAGGAAATGGGGCCCAGCTAGCGTATGGAGGCAGTTCAGAATCTCATGCACAGTATTGAGAGTAGACCCCTTATTCTAACTTCTTGAATGAACTAGAATGAAGAAGGCACACACGTAACACGGTCTAATACTTGTATTAAACTCGGCATGGGAGAAAGTTAGTTAGTCTTCAGATTCATTGAGTCTCAATTGTGCAAAATAATTACTACACCCAGTAGCTGGGCCACTGGAACTTCTTCTAGTTTGAATTTTAACTTTGGTTGGTTGTAGACACGCGCAGTAATTATGAAGCACCAACCGGCTTCTCAACATGTCAAAGACGTACTGGGGCCGGGGCTTCAATGGCATGGTATTTTTTACTTTGGCAACTTTACACATGAGCTGGATATTCACGTGAAAATGTTACTGTGACTGTTGTTCACATTTAAGGCTCACTATATGCTGGAACGCTAGTACGACCGACCAAAGTCAAAATTCGAACAACAAGTTCTAGCTCCCCGGTCATGCCAGTTGGTTAGCAAGTTACTCCAGTTTTCCTCCCTCCGGAAAAATCAAACACTTTCGATCTCAGGCTGTGCTCCGTGGTCACATATGGGTCGATGTGGCCGGCAGCCATAGGCGCCTTTAGTACGTGTCAGCGCCCGACAACGTTGTAGCCGCGTCCTTCGCAATTCAGCATACCAGCTGCGAGTCAGGATGATTAGCCTCCCAAATTATTATTATATTATTATTATAGCCACATTGACAGGTCTTGTTTATAGTCGTGTTCCCTAACGTGGCGCACTTCGAAGCTTACTTAAATTTAAGAATTTCTGTAAACTTGATAAATTCTGATAAATAATTAGAACCGTGAACGTGGCTATATACATAGCCACGCTTTAGTCAATACATGTGGTAAAAACACTCTATTGTGATCCGCGGTTTATACTAAGATGGAGTGACCGTTCTAAAGTCGAATTTCGGTTACATTTGACAGAATATTTGCATACAAAAATGAGTTGTACAGAAAATCAGCAGAATATTTTTTTCGGCAGAATTATGAAGATGAAGGAAAATGAAAAAGATTAGAGAAATATGGCACATTTGGTTTGAAAAACACAATGGAACAGCAGTATATAGGGCCTACTGGATGATTTGGCAGACTTTCGAAGTGGATTTAGCAGAATTTTATATGGTATTACGGTAATCCTGCCATGTAAGACGGTTAGTCGGGTACCCACTGGTGAAACTCCTACCGTTTTGCGCATGCGGAACTCGGGGCACCAGAGTGTCATGCCTGTCTTTGATTTTCTGATCATTTTGAAAACATTCGTTGTGACAAAGTTGTGCCGTACTTTACATCAAATTTCTTGGCAATGACAGATCCAACACTCGCGTAAATTCACAGGAAGCCCAACAAGTAGGGCCTAAGTGATTTACCTATGGGCAAAATTATACATGGTTATATGTAGCGGATCAAAAGATAGAATGCTTTCGCTTGTATTTACCAGAGGGAAGCGCTTGGTGTTGTATACAACGCCACGTTCACGGGTCTAATAAATAATTAGCCAGATGTTTGTCAGAAAATTATTTTCTTACTTTTCGGGGCATTTTCAAAGCCAAAGGGTTCACTTTGCACTAGCCCGACTGCGTCTGGCCGTACAGTACAATCGCAAGCTCTGTAGTACGGAGCTTGCGATAGTCATGATAGTAGCTGTACGGCTAGCCCCAAAATGTGGCCTATTTACTGGACTGCCTCCGTAAACATAGGCCACACATCCACATGTACAAAAATCGTGTCGACTTTGCCAAATTTAGATTTTCACATTTAGGCTTAGTTTGTAGGATTTTTTTGCTTTAGAAGCATACTCACCCTCTTTATAGGCTAGTCAAAAAGTGCTGCCTTTTTCAGATGTCTAATTTTTTACGCAAACGTGTAAAAATGAATCTGGAAATTTCACGAAAAATATACATCTGAAAAAGGCTGCACTTTCTGATTAGCCTATAAAGAGGGTGAGTATGCTTCCTAAAGCAAAAAAAAGCCTAAATGTGAAAATCAAAATTTGGCAAAGTCGACACGATTTTTGTACATGTGGATGTGTGGCCTATGTTTACGGAGGCAGTCCAGTAAATAGGCCACATTTATGGGGCTACTGTACGGCCAGACGCAGTCAGGCTAACTTTGCACTTGAATTAACCGGTTGAAATGAAAATAAAATCGGAAAATCACACCAAAATAACTTTTCTTCTAACTTTGTTACTGGTAATTAAACTCGCGATTTATGAACAGGAGTGTTTTAGAACTTGATGAACAACAGGTGATGAAATTTCACTTTGTCATCAGTTAAAACTTTTGCTCTAGGCGCTACAACAAGCGAAATATCAAAGTGCGCCACGTTGGGGGCCGCGCCACGTTAGGTACATCATGAGCCCAGGTGGACTCCCTTTCCTCCCTACGTAACGGAGGTCGTAATGCAATGAAGACTTCGTCCAACCTGGGGCTAGGTACATCATCAACATTAACATTACAATACAGGTCCAACATGTCTAACGTGGCGCACTTTGATTTTTGGATGAACATTATCTCAATGAAGGTCAGTCAATGAGTCATCACAAAATAAAAATAAAAAAAAAATAAAAAAAAATAAAAACTGCAGCAGACCCTTGCATTCTTCAACAGGACATCAACACACTTGAAAAATGGGGAAAAGATTGGCACATGTCATTCAATGCCTCCAAGTGTCACACCATGAAGATCACCCACAAGAAGAACTCAGTCGACTCCAGTTATCACATGGGTAATGCCAAACTACTAGAGGTTAAACACCATCCCTACCTGGGGGTTGAACTCAGTAATGATCTCAAGTGGTCCACTCACATTGATCAGATCATCTCTAAAGCCAATCGTATGCTCGGGCTACTCAAGAGAAACATCCACCACTGCAACAGTAATACCAAGTCCATTGCGTATCAGACACTAGTCAGACCAAGGCTAGAATATTGTTCCGCCATTTGGGATCCTCATCATGCGTCGGATAAAAAGAAATTAGAAAGCATTCAACACAGAGCAGCTAGATTTGTTATGCAAGACTACAGCAGGGAGTCAAGCATCTCAGCAATGATGAATAAACTCAAATGGGACTCTTCAAGATCGAAGGACCAAAGTTCGATTAGTCACACTCTACAAAGAAACCCATGGGCTTACACCGAGTAATATGGAAGATTATCTGAACATCGTCAACTCATCAAGGGGGGTTTCTACTAGACAGACCGGACCTTTCTCATATAGAGTCATCACCACAAATAAGGACTGCTTTCGTTACTCAATGTACCCAAAGACCATCCTAGAATGGAATCAACTTCACCCTAACATCCGCTCTTCACCTGACATTAAGACTTTCAAACTGGCACTGGACAACATCAACATTCAACTTCAAGACCTGGCTTCCAAAACCCAATCAAGAATTTAGTTGCTGCACACCTGACCCTGACCAACGTACGTCGACAACCTTCTAGGTGTTTGTACGTTTATGGAACAGAAACAGAAACAGAAACAGAAACAGAAAACTCATGTGGAAAAGACATAAGATAAAGTTGGACTGAGAAACGTTTCCAACATGTCCAATTTTGCTTGAGAATCATGTGTACAAACCTGCAGCAAACGCGTGGACCCGCCCTGCCTGGTACCGTGTGGAGCCGAGTGGTGTTAACTGTCGAGCGCAATTTGAGTCCCCCGCGCAAGTTTAAACCTGCGCGCACGCAAGTTAAAACTTGCGCGCGCATTAATTTATTTGCTACAAATTGCGCATGCAAGTTTAAACTTGCGCACTGCATAGATTTTCCCGGCCACGCATACAAAGCCGCTAAACTATTTTTTTTTCCGGGTATACTCATGCAGATATGTAACTTTTTTTTTAAAGCAGATTTCTTTTCTCCGATTTAATTCTAATAGCATGCCTTTTTTTTGAAACATTTTATTAATATGCTAATGAATGATGTTGACTGTGTGGAAATTGGAGAGATATTATAAAGGAGTGGCAATGCGAACAATTTATGCACTTTGCATCATGATGTATATTATTGTTTATGGCTCATTAGGATTTTTGTTTAATAAACAACATATTTATTCATTAAATCGAATTATTTAATTAAATCAATAAATTAAATTCATTAATTAAATCATTTGCAAATTTATTTACTTTTTAAAATAATTACCATTTAATATGCATAGCGTTTTTAAGTTGTATTGAGCCTGCAATAAAATAATTGTTAAAGTAATAAATTTAATTAAGTAATTAAATTAGTAATGCATTCATTCATTTTGTTTTCAAATTATGCAATTTTGAAGTGTACACAGCGCTCGAAAAGTTATGCAAGTATTTCTAAAAACAATATGAATTATTGTACCGTCCAATTTATTAATTGCTAAATTAATTAGTATTTTTCTAAGAATAAGTACTTTTTTAATTGTAGAATACATGTAAGGGGAGTCAGGTTGGCGTAGCGGTACTTTCCTCGCCTTCCACCGCTGTGACCCGGGTTCGAATCCTGCCCGGGCCAATATGTCCCTACCTGATTCCGTGGGTTTTCCTCAGAATATTCCTCTGGGATTTTCCTCCCACCTCTAAAACTGTAATTTCTTCTCATTGTCTTCTCTCTACAGGTTTCTTCAGCCTTTCGGGCTACAGTGCCTAGGGCACTTTTTGAGGGATCCTTGGTTTCATAACAAGACGGACTCGAGTCAAGTCATCTATGACTCGAGTCATTACAACTCTGAACACCACCCCTCCCCCCCCCCCCCCCCCCCCCCCCCCCCCCCCCCCCCCATTCGGCTCAACTGTTAATGTTATGAAACTATGGGCCAAAAATAATCAAGTTCCCTAAATGTATTCTCACCATGGTAACTCCATGTTCTCACATTGTAGGAATGCAGGAAAGCATTGTTTCAAAATTTTCGGACCCCCTAGCTATACCAGGGCGTGACTCACCCCTCCCCCAATTCCGGAAAGCCAAATCCTTCCCTGCTTCATTTTCCTCAGAAAGATCCCTCAGAAAGAAAAAGAGTTTTTATGTCATGGATTCGGGACCGGCACAAACAACAAAGATACACTGACAACATAGCATTTCCAGTCTTAAGCATAATACCGGTAGTTCAAATTTATTACTTCAGTCAAATCCCATGCATTATTATACATGTATTTAACAAATACAATAATACATGCATTTAATCACTTGTTACAGGGATGTGACATTATAGCTACGCAACACAATAATAATATACAAAATTTATAATGGGCCGTATATAATCATTAATAAAAAGCTCTAGTTAAGGAATTGACATGATGCTGTATGATGCATTTTTTTACATAGTGATTCTTATAATTATTATCCCACAAAATATGATTTTCAGTACACAAAAGCTAGTTACAAACTACTAAACTAATCTAGAGGTATATAAAGCAATTTCAAAGGAGGAAAAGTGGCAAACAACCGACTGGGCATAATGGCAAAAGAAACGCGAAATTGGAACAGACATTATGAACCATAGTTCAAAACTATCGGTATATAATTGATATGTGCATGCCTTGCCATAAAATCTGATCAAGAGTGACGAAAACAGGACAACGCTTACATTCCACTTTTTCAAATGTGAAAACAATTAAAAGCTCTTTTAACTTTTTTGCTACATAGACATAAGCATACAAACAGTATTGAAACTTCACAAGTTCACACATGGGATTAATATTGGATATAAAACAAAATATACAGATATACTCATAGTGGTTCTTGTTATAACATAACAGCTATATAAATCACAACACATGACACATAATTGGAGAATTTCCTTGCATCTAGGTACACGTAAATCCCGTTTCAAAGCCCAATTGGTTTTTATTTTCAGCTACGAGTCAATTAACCCACAAATTCTCTGAAAAATAGTAAATATTTGTTGTCACTATTTAAGAGTATAAAGATTGTGTTCTTTGAATACTAAACAGTGAGTAAGATATCAGGATGATCGAGATGTAAAACAAAAGGACTCTCGACTGTGTTGTTGACACTAACTAGTACTGATAACATGGCGCATACAAAGTCATGGGTGGCGGGGTGGCTAGTGGGTAAAGCGCTCGCCTCTCACCACTGTGGCTCAGGTTCGATTCCCGTTTGCGGACCATATGCGAGTCAAGTTGTGCGTTGGTTCTCTCCTGTGCCACTAGGGTTTTTCTCCGGGCCCTCCGGTTTTCCTCCCTCCAAAAAAAACCCATCAAACACTTTCAATCTCAGGATGGGCCAATGTGGCTGGCAGCCAAAGGCGCCTTTACATGTTAGCGGCTTGACTTGACCACAGTGTAGCCATGTCTTTCGCAATTCAGTTTCTCAGCTGCGAGTAAGGATGATTAGCCTCCCAAATTATTTTTCTTCTTCTTATTATTATTATAATGTAAACATGTTTCAAAACGGAATTTCAGAATGGAATTTCAGAATTCAGGGGGGTGTCATCTGTCGATGGGGGCGCTGTTCAAAACCGACAATTATGCACACAAAGGGCCAATATATGGTGCTAACTGCTTTCAGAGCGATACATGTGAGAAATTATTAAAAAAGGCACCCAAAACGGCAGATGCCACAAAAAGGGCACCACTTCTTTTTTGAAAAGGGAACTTGTTTAGAAAAAAAAGGGCACTTTTAAAAAAAAGAGGGCACTCTTTACAAATTATTGGGGGGGGGGTTAAGCCTGTTGAAAAAAGGGCATTTGAATGGAAAAAGGCAGTCTTTACAAAATATTGGGGGGGGTCAATACCCCCCTTACCATAAACATAATAGGAAACATCATAAAATGTATATACTAGGTGCTACACATGGATAAAGATTTCATGAATTGATTTCTGTTCATTATTTTGACCTTTTCATTGTATAGAGTGTGTAAGTTCACCTAAAAAAAGCTGCGAGATTTTATGAGAATACAGCAGATCCAGGCAATACGTATAGGATCTACAATGCATGTAATATTATTAGTCCTATTTTGTTCCCTGACTGGGCCTATCCAATCAAGGGCAATAAATAAAATGGGTATATTTTGAAAGAAAAGAAAGCATTACAATTTCTACAACATATTGAAAATATTGGAAATTGATGACTATTATAAAATCAAAATTGTTGACCTCAACTTCCATTCAACCGATCACGCGGATAACAAATGGGTACATTCAATCAAGGGAGTCTGTGACTAGACTAGGGTTTAGTACCAAGACGTTACATAAAAAGAGAATATGGACTGGCGAGACTTACATGCTCTATTGAATACACTATTTTGGCAATTCCAAGCATGAATTCTCATTTTGGATTTGGGATAACCATTTGAATCAAAGGATCCCCCCCCCCCAATCACCAACTAATTTCAACTACTGTAAGAGCAGATTTGTTACAAGTAAAATGTGATATTTATTAACAGATTCTCACCATACTTCGGCATAAAATAGGATGGGTTAGGCCTAATGGTATGTTCTACTTAAAAGGAGCAGTGACCAGTTTCAGAAAGCTGGAGCTTCACATGAGAAAAGCCAAAAGGGAAAGTTGCTGAATGAGCAGGTAAAAGTCTCGTTGAGCAATTTAAAAAAATTGAACACCGACTAGAAGTAAGGCACACAAAAACAAGTACATGTAGGACATTATGGGCCAAACTAAAACTTAGCTGTTGCTTTACTTTTAACTTCAGCAGGAAAAGTAGGTTGTCCAATTACTTTACAGCGAAGTAAAAGCTTGTGCTTCTACACGCAAGTAAAGGGTTTCATATAGGAAACCATATGGAAAACCATAAACCGTATGAAAAACCATATGGAAAACCATATGGAAAACCATATGGAAAACCATACGGAAAACCATACGGAAAACCATATGGAAAACCAGACACTTTTATGGAAAATGAGGAAGTCCCTTGCTGTTTATTCATAAGATGGAATTTTGCGTCAGGGTGATGTAAATCAAATTAGGTTTTGGCCCTTCACCGACGTATAAACACTGTCCCTTGCTGATTACTGAAATTTGCTGATATATGTTTATTTTTTTTATTTTTTTTTTAAGTAATACTACACATGGAACGTAATACTTAAGTCTTTCAATGTATGAACGTCTCTCACTAGTGTTTTGCTCTATCTGCAGCATTTTGGTAACCAACTTTTTCCTACTTCGGTTTATGAAACTGGCCACAATCAACAAGCACAGTGATAACTTTAGAGGAATATTAATCCTAACCATAGCTAAAGGTTTACCCCCCACCGGTACCTCCAACATTTGTGCCTGTCACCTATTAACTATTGAGGGCAGTCTGATAGTTTTGTCATCGACCCCATCACGGTGAATGCAGATGTCAGGACATTGGAGCTTATGCGTCTCTTCTGCCCAGGCTGCTGACCACCGGCGTAGAGATAGAACTTGCCCGGCTGGACCATCAGGGTGTCAGCCTGTGTGTTGTAGATCGCCCTCACACGGGCTGGAACGGTCAGGTAGCTGGTAATCTGATTCTGAGGGGTTGTTTGCACACGGAGGAATGCTCCCAGTTGGAGTTTGGGTACCGGGTAGACTGCATCCGGCCAGCCGATGTACACCTGAAGCACCTGTTGCAATGAAAGAAAAGAACACAACATCAGTGTTGGTATTAGTTTCACTATTGTAGTTTCACTATGTAATATATCTTTGAAAACACTAAGGTATCCACAAGTAATTCAATGGTCTCCTCAATCTTTTGGTAAGTGTACTTCAGTCATTGTTATGAGACTGAAGAGGCTGAAATCAAAATAGCTATATTAAGCCAATGTTGTATATAATTCAATTGTTGTTTAATAACTGCTTAACATTATAACACATCTCACAATTTCTGCAGTCAATCAACTGTCTATTTCTAACATGACTAAATATAAATTTTTACAAGATATAGCATAAGTATACATTGTACACAATACTTGAAACATACGTCAATCTTATTGATATAATAGCTAACCTCATCTCCGGCATAATGGCCAACATTGGTCAAGGTCACACTGACGTGCATATCATCACAGGGTTTAAGAAGAGGGTTGGACACCACGACCTTGTCGTAAGTGAACTCGGTGAAGGACAGACCATAACCAAACGGGTAGAAGGGGGTGCCAGTGAAGTAACGATAACCACGATTGAAGAAGCTATTGTTGGTCATTGGAGGCACCTGTAGGGACATTGTCAAGATACAAATGTCATTAATCAAACTGAACCTGAAAGTCTAAATTAAGGACAATATACATTAATTGTAAATACTCAGTGAAACAAGTCAGTAAATCAGTCAATCAGTGAATATGTCAGTCATCGGACAATCGACTGGCCCTTCAGTCTAGCAAAAACAGGCTCAGAACATTATGATATGAAAAAGAACTTTAACAGGTCATAGCTTAAGGTCCTGATGATGTCAACTTTCTCTGACCAAGCATTGGCTTAATAAGAGTAATGTGCATTTGCACCATGTGACATATCTCTCTCTTGAGTTTGTGAGGTTCAGAAAAGAACCGGGAGAAACTCAACGCTTTGGACAATGTGCTCTGCCTGGCATCAGGAGATGTACGGAACCTCATAACCTCACAAAATATAATTGTTTCATGGTGCAACCGCAAACTTACCCTTATTGCTCACTTAACCGGGCAAACCGTCAAATATTATCAACTATTGGCTTATTTTTTTTTTGGGGGGGGGGGTAAAATCAAAGCAATCAGAGCGATGTGTAGCCTGGTGATCATACCACTGAGCCAAAAGCAAAGTCCAACTAAACAAGGCAATGGACCGATCCAGTAAGCACCGCCCCATGGTGTTCTGACCAATCACAGCCGTGGTTTATGTCCGACGTGCATGCACTAAAGTCCGACATGCATGCACGCGCGTATGATGCGCGCGGAAGGAACACGCAAAACTGTGATTAACTGATCAGAATGGCTACTCATGCAGTCTTTTCATGTTGTTTTTTGGTCAACACAATGACCCAACGATCCAGATCATTCACTGGGGTAACGAGGTAATCCTATACAATAGCACTGCCTAGCTCTCTGCACCAGTCCAAGTAACAAATGACAGTCAGTGAGTCTGTCACTGAGATAGGTACAAGAAGGCAACTAGCTAGTCTGGCCCTTTGTGATCAGAAAACAACCAATCAACCTACATCATCCATAGAAGCCGGCCATGTGAACGGTAGCCTTCCTGCAGGATTGCCATCCGGGCCATTGGTCATAAAACGAGCGACAGCCAAGCCTGCTGCCTGAGCAGGGAGCCAACACTCCACAATGGCGTGAACGTCGGGACTTTCATCAGCCCAGGTGACGTTCAACGGTCCGGCGTTGAAGAGGAGTAGAACCACTGGTCGGCCTTTGGCTGAAGATGAAAAGGAAGTTATTCATTTGTGGTGCATAAAAACAGGTAATATCTACGGTATATAAAACAGATATTAATACAGGAACCGTGAATAATCAGTTTGGGAGAGACAGAGAGGTAATGATTTGGAGTGGGCAATACAAAAAAATTATACTTCATGGCCAGGGATTATTTAGTCTTTCGCCATTCAAATAATTTAGACCATCATGAACAAAAATTGAATTAGACCAAAATGGCCTCGACACTGGACATTGAAAAGGCCAGTTTACAATTTTAAGTGAAAGCAAAGAGAATTTCACAATGTCAACAAATGCACGATCAAGTTCGTGTGAATGACCCAGGCTAAATTCTGAGAGCGAATCAAAACGTTCAATGTTGATCCCAAAAAGTGAAAATACAACATGGATTCATCCTCAACATTTTGGAAAATGATTTGTTCATTTTTTAGTCCAATGCTGTGATATCAGGATCTGCAGTATTGCATAGCTTGGGCTCACAAATGTAGCTGGTGCTTCCATTGTCTGAGATGGCTTATTTTGAACTGGAATAATTAAAGCATTTAAGGCCAAAAAAAATAAATATTGGGTCTCTGGTCAGACTGAAGTTCCGGAATTGATGCGGGGACGCGGCTTGTACAGACAAGGTGGGGTACTATTTTGCTTTTTTGGTGTCCTCATGTACATTGGTGTTCTCCATAATTTGCCTTGGTGCTCTCGATCATTTGCCTTGGTGCAATTTCCCATTCCTTGGTGCTCTTTGATAAAAAAAAATTGAGGAGGTGCGGCAATAGAGGGCGCTGTTGGAGCTACAGTGGAACATTTTGGGAAAAAAAAGATTGACGCGCATGATTAAAATCGACGCGCACGCTGACCAGAGACCGATTTTTTTTTTTTTTTGGCCTAACCCTCCTGCTGTTTGAAGAGTCACAGGCAGTCAACAAATAAATCCCCTGCCATGCCTTTTACACAGGCTAGTCACCAACAGTCAGATATTTCAAGCAAGACTGTGACTAGTCAAATTCAGTCAACAGATAAAACCAGGCAAGTGGTACGCACAGCTGGCTTATCAATCACCTCAAGTCAAAGCACAGCTGCTTCAGGTTATATGAACAGTCACAGCCAGTCAATCCTGCTTTATGTAGGCTGGGAGCTCTTAACTGTTGAAAACAGTCACTTGATTGATTTTGAATGAATTCGGACAACTTTGCGCAGAATGTATGTTTGCATTAGAGGGTTAAGGTACTTTTGCCATTTGTCATGGCTGGGCTCAAGAATTTACCATATTTGACAGCATCTTGTAGGAGCTGTAGCTGAGAACCTGGCAGGGTCATGTTTTTGCGGTCCTTAGACTCACTCTCTACTGATGTACCTAAACCGCAACACAAAACACACAATTTCAAGGGTTACAAAGTTGTAGATAAGAAGTCATGGATATACACAAGTTCATTGCAAAATGACTTTGAATGTTTATGAGACGAGCGTTTCAAAGCTTGAAAGCTTTAACATGAAACTGCTTAGAGGTTTTAAAGGATTTGGTGGGGGTAGGAGGGTGAAGCCCAAGGCCCTGGAATAGTCAAATACAAAGCATGTGCCAGTGATTCCTACATAGTGGAGGAGTTTGCAGGATACAGGGAAGGCTCCTAGCAACATTGAGGGAAAAAATGTTGCAACCTGACGCCACTTCCGCGATTGCGTACAAAGTCTTTGGAGAGTCAAGAAAATTGTCTAAGTATTTCCTAACAAAAGTGGAAATGTTTCTCAGTCCCAGATTCATGTCTTATCATCATTTTTGCAATGAATGACCTTCACTGAGATGAAGAAAAAGTGGCGTCCGGTTGCAACATTTTTCCACATTGAGAGTTAAAAATGTTGGGAATGTTTCTGGTTGTTGACTCATGTGCGAACTATGTAGGTGACCCATCCCAGCAAGTTTCTGGATCATGCATGCAATTCTAACCAGGCATGATATTAGAACCTAAGGAAATATAGGAAAAAGGTTCTGAAGATCCCCAAAAGAATAATGTCCACAGTAGGGAATGCTGAAAATGGAGAAAATAAAAGGAAATGAAAGGAGGAAAGCAAATAGGAAATCCGAATAAAAGAGGGATACCATCATGCCTGAACCAAAGAAAATGTCTAACTAAGAAGGGAGGATTTTGCTTGCAAAATATAGACTGGTTTCCAGGCTCTACATTATATCCTAGACTGTGAATGAAGGTTGGGAACCAGACTGGAAGCGACAGCAACTACCTCACTGGTTTACATGTCAGTGTACAAGTACGCATCAGGGGAGTTCCTAACACTGACAGTGATGGTTTGCATTTTCTACCATGACAGGTAATTTTAAGAATATTACAAGAACTACATGAATTTATCTAAAAAATACTTAAAATATACTATACCTGTGCCCAAGCATACAACGACAAAGTCCACATCAGCGACAGCATCCATGATGTCAGTCTGATTATACTTGTCACACTTGGGGTCATCGCAGCCGCCAGCGTATTTCACTTTGTATGCAATCTTCATCAAGCCCTCCCTGGCTGTAGTGATGTATTCACGCGAAGTGCCTGGTGGGTAGTCTCCGAACGGATCGTAGGGCGAGTCTGCCATAGGGCCGACAACCTGTTTGAATGAAGCACCATCAGAAAATGACTGTTTATATCTAGAATGGCATTGTTAGAGAAGCCACCTCCCTTCCAAAGTGATCTAGCCAACAAAGCTGCCTACCCCACAAAGCGGGCAAGGCGAAGTCCCGTAAACATTTAAATGTGATGCAAATTAGGATGTGCATAAAAAAATTTTTTAATGGCATTCAATGACACCTTTTTTTAAAAGAAACTCAATGACAACATAAATGTGTTGTCTTAAATCTCATTTTTTTAAGATATTGCAGATACTCCTATGTGGCTTTCATGACTAAAAAGTGTAGTTTTTAAGCCAGGAAATGACTGGTTTAGGCATGGGCCGTCACAAATGGTGTTCTGAGGTGTCAGTTATATTAAGGGTTTATCATAAGTTGTGTTGTGGTTAGGGCCATCGCAAAACTTGAGACTGGAGAGCGGTGTGATGAACTTGTAAGGAACTTGACAGCAAGTATTAAGACTCACAGCCAGTGTTTCAATCTTGCCGACTGGTAGGACTTTCCCGATGTGCTTCAGCAAGACAAACGTCCTGACAGCCACAGAGACAGCCAGCTCTTGATGCGCGGCACTCTCCACCACATCATCCACGTTCAGCTTGGTGTATGGGTTCATCTCTGGGGGGTCAAACTCCCCGAGCCTCATCCTGGTGTAGAAGAGCGGCCGGACCAGGGTGGTCATCTGCTCCATGCTGATCAGGCCCAGTTGCACGGCCTGGGTCAGGTGAGTGTAAATGGGCACCTTGGCCCCTGTCAGCTCCAGGTTGCAACCAGCCTGGATGGCCGCTACGGTCGAGTCTAGCGGGCCTGTGGTGTAGTTGTGAGCAGTGTGAAGGAACTCCAGCGCTTCATCGTCGCTGGTGACGTAACCTTTGAAGCCCCACTGATTACGGACAACGTCAGTCAAGTATTTCTTGTTGGCGCAGGCAGGAACACCATTAATGCTTGAAAAGAAAAAGAGACGTCGGTGTTGACACGTCAGAAGCATCGAGGCTCATGTTAATGTCACAAAACATGTTTGATTAATTATCCACGTTTTAATTTTGACACTCTTGAGGTATTTTTAAAATTTTGAAACTTTTATTTATTCATAAGCTGGAATTTCCATCACCCCGACGTAAATTCAATCTTATGAACAGTCTGGTTGCTGTACCCGCCGCTGTATCAGATTAAAACCAGCCAGCCGACCCTGGCAAGCTCAGTGGTCAAGTAGTATGCATTAGTAAGCAGGGGGTCGTGGGTTCAAGTCCCACCCGAGTAGTTTGTGAATTTGCCTGACAATGACTTGGGACAACACTGAGTATACAAACTTAACATTGATAACAGCTTCCTCAGTAATAGCCCCATAAATGTGGCCAATTTACTGGGCTACCTCCGTAAATAAAGGCCACACTTCCACCATGTACAAAAACATGTAGAACTTGTCAAATTTTGATTTTCACATTTAGGCTTAGTTTGTAGTTTATTTTTGCTTTAGAGGCATACTCACCCTCTTTATAGGCTGATCAGAAAGTGCTGCCTTTTTCAGATGTCTATTTTTCGTGAAATTTCCAGTTTCGTTGAAATTGCAAAAACATGAAATTTCACAAAAATTAAACATCTGAAAAAGGCAGAAATTTCTGATTAGCCTATCAAGAGGGTGAGAATTTTTTTGTTCATGGTGCAAGTGTGGCCTTTATTTACGGAGGTAGTCCAGTAAATTGGCCACATTTATGGGGCTACCTCAGTAACAAAGGGTCAATCATTTAAAGTCAATTGCAGGATCTTAACCAACCTGTTATAGCTACACATCAAGTTGAATGTTCCGCCCTTGACACATTCATGGAACATTGGCATGTATGTCATCTGCATGTCTGCCTCACTCACCTGAATTCAGAAAGCCAAAACAACAAACGTCTGGTAATATAACAAAAGGTTATACAACATTTGCTTTAAAAATGGGATAAATGGATGGATTGGGGGTTAGTATTTTCTAGCAAATGTTGTTACACCGACCTGTTTTCAAGTTTTGTGTTCATAGATGCTGAAAAAGAGTTTTTAAAAAATCCTGTTCTTGTAGTCTTGTTCCCTGACCTTATTTTATACGAAATGGAGCTATTTATACAATGTAGTCATCACGGAATTGTCAGGGACCCACATTAGCTAGCTTGCACCCATAACGTTCAAGATGTGCAATCGATTGCAAACAAAATGTGGACTAACTAAATTTGGTAAATTGGGGGCAGTATATTAAAAAAGTCAGGTTTTTTTCCCCATCGTTGGAAATTGATACAAACATTCTGCTTTTCTTGAAAATGACAGCACACCAAGTGCAATGATTTCACGGGATGCTTGAGAATATCAATCACTTACAGTTCAAGTAAGGTATTTCAAGATAATTTGGTAGTTTTGTTTTTGATATTTGCAAATGTTGTATATTACCTTTAACATCAATTTTAAAATGAAACCAAACAAAATCTGCAGTACAGGTTACTGGAAAAATTGCACAACTTACTTGCCTAGCTAGACAACTAGGGCTAGGCAAGTATGGCTGCAAAAGGAACCAATGGCCAAACACTGACATCTACTGAACAGTAAGCACATATACCGCGTTTCCTTACAGGCAGAGAACATCATTTGTCATTTGTGCATTTTTTTTTCGTTTGAAGCAACAGAAGTGCTCAAAATCTGAAGCAGGGTGCTTAACAACTAACCTGATGAAAAATTATGTCAGTGAACGCTGTACATTCTGAGAAAACTATATCCTAGGATCTGGATTTCAATTAAAAAGTTGCCAAGTCATGTTTTGAATAACGCCAAAAATCAGCATCCGGGACACATTCTCATTCAGCCAATTGCAGCTACACGATGTCACACACTGAACTGACAAACAATAGCGATCGAGCGCGCCCATGTGTCGTGTCAACGCTTGTGCACAGCCATTCAAGGCTTTGCCAAATTAAAAACAAACTACTAACAGAAATTTCCAAAACTGCGTCTTTAGATGCATCTTTGGAAATGTCCTTCTTTTATTGTTTTCTTCAAAATGACAGCATGCCAGAAAGAATAATTTCACAGGGAGTTTAGTGACATTACTATCTTTCAACCAAGTGTGCTTTTCAACAATAATTTTGTCAGTTTCTTTTTGCACAGCTGAAAATGAAATACTCTATTTTTAATAGTAACAGGTATAATGAGATTTGAAGGTTTGCATGGTGGAAAGATACTAGGACAAGATAAGTTTGCGGTAGCACCATGTGAATAAATGTCTAAAATAAACTATACCATTAATTTGCTTAGCAGTGTTTTTTGTTTTTTAAGCACTTCCAAAACATTTAGTGCAAGCCTGGCACTTGGAAGGTTAAACAAAATAACATGTCAATGCAACAAGTTTTAATGCAGGCTATTATTTTGATACTTACAACTGAATTGTATTTGAATCGGGATGATGGTATATCCTCGGGTCCATCGTAGGCAAACATGTGTTTGCAGCCTGAGCTTGTACGGACATAGCGTGCATCATCTCCGTGTAGACCAGCCACATATGCCTTGGCAAACTCTCCCGTCAAGAAAGGATCCTCACCATAGGTTTCCTAGTACATAAGTTTGTGGGTTAGAATGTTGCCACTGACTGAAAACGTGACAGACAAAAGTTTGCTGAGATGTCAATCAAAATAATCAAGGACTTCAGTGCTTTCCTTCATTTGCCCTCCAGGGTGTACAAAGCCCATGGACCCCATCACAGCATGCAACAAATGTTTTACATGGTAATAGACCACTAACGTCTGAAACTGTGGGGTCTCTTCCTGTTGCGGTACAAAATTGGCAAACTTTTCACACATAATTTTCCGTATTTTTCCGTGCTGATGCTGTCCTGTTCAAAAATCACATTTCTGATCACGTCTTTGAAACGATAGAGAAACCTCTTCTTTAATTGGAGGCGAACTGTTGTCATCTGCCAACATTATTATGGTGAAATTACGGTGAAATTTGCAGTTCATGTTGATTTTGACACGGCCGGGTAAGCAAGATGATAGTGTGGACTGCCCTTTAGATTTCACTTTCACAACATGCTAATAATGGTAGAAGTGTATTTCGTTACCCAAGGCTTTGTTTTATGTGTAATAAAAAACTTGTACCAAACACATTTTTGTTACCTGAATTCTTCCCCACAGGGGATGTCTCACAATGTTGATGACAGGACTAAAGCAGCTCAGTCCTCCAAAATCCTTGTATATCCCGTGGCTTGTGTAGTTGTTATACTTGGCACGGACTTCTGTACTGGTAGCTGTGCCAACATCAGTGAGTAGATCAACACTAAAAATGATTTAACATGAGATTCAGAGAGCTGTATGTGAATTTATACCGTGTCCATGTACTAATTTAAAAGTCTTTGTTATAATACATTTACTAGGATCAGGCATGTATATACATGTACCATATGTACCTCAGGTTATGTCTAAAAAATCGGAACGCTTGGAACGTTCCAAGTAGGAACATCACTTCCAATTTGAAACATGCATTGTTCCCACTGGGAACAGCCAGGTGATCCCGCTTGGGAACATTGGTCTATGCGTGTGCACGCTTGCTCGCAAACGGCCTGCTCCAGTTGGGAACAAGGGAACACAGCGTGTTCCTGATGGGAACACACAGTGTTCCTAAAAGGAATGTTCCACACAGAACAGGAACTTTTGGACTCTTGAGATGCTCACTGGTCATTAACCCTAACCCTCCAGGGTATGTTTGCTAGAACCCTGCCAAACGTAGCAACATGCAACACTTGACTAAGTGACAAGCCTGCCCAGTGTAGCAAGATCCATCAGGGGAAAAGTCTCAAGGCCACAATGCCTCAGAGTCGGTGGTCACCGCATGCAGCAGGATACAACTGTGGCATTGTTTCATGGGACTTAGCTCTCATTGTTTCAGAGTTGGCCATTCATGCACTGGTGTTGGTAGCTGAACGCATCAAAGTGCACCAGTTCTTTTCCACCTGATGCACTGTGCTGCGTCTGGCAGGGTTAGGGTTAGTGTGTGAACAACAGTTTCTTGGGTAGAAGTTTCCAAGACTGGATTTGATTCATCTTGTAGATAGTACCTTTTACCGCTTCAGTGACTTGACAGCACTTACCAGGGATCTGGACCAGCTGCCATAAACATACCCCTGCTCAACCCAACAGGATCCAACTAGTTTACATACCCACTGGGCCTGTTGGAGTGAGCAGTAAACCCCTTGAATTTATTCCTGTTGAAATCAGTTGGATTCAGCAGGCAACTGAAAACATACAGAGTCAGGTTCTGTTGAGTGCTGGTAAATAACATCAAGTTGGACTCTGTTGGATTGAGCATGCCAGTCGTTTCGTATGTTCAGGTACCCAACAACTTGGCAAATTGGACTATGTGGGACTGGTTTGGATTGAGCAGGAAACTCTTATGAGTAACTGTCCACCTCCAGTGGATTTAGCAGGGTAATCCTGGGGAACTATTAGGGGTTTAGTTAAGGGAACAGTCTTTGGACCAAGACTAGACTTCATTAGGACTGCAGGTTGTCAAATTGCCAAAGTGTTGGCAGGATAGGCACAGCAATGTTAGATTGAAGGCCCAACCCAATGTGTTGCCAATTTTTAAGCTTCATATTTGCCCAAGCCCAATTCCATGACTTGACATTAGAATTCTAAGTTCTAAAAAAGGGCCTAATGTAACAGAACCAAAATATTACCTGAATGATGCAGCCAAACCAATTGGCATTGCAAATGATGTTGCATTCCCAGAATCGACATCACCACGTAGACACTCAGTGCACCAGTTATATGGGCCGATACCGAGTCGTGTGATCGGAAATGTAGGGCCGTTGCTCTTGTAGCCTGCTCGGGTCATCTGGGCGGCAATCTCATCCAGGGAGAGTCTGGGGATGAGGTCATCTAGACGCTCCTCCCAGGACAAGGAGGTATTCTGGAATGGGAAGCCGGCAACAGCGATGGAAACGGAGAGTAGGACTGAAAGAAGAGCAAGGCACAGCTTGGCTGGCGTCATCTTGGTTCCTGATCTACCTCTTTTGAATCTTGTGCTGCTGAGAGACCATAAACGCAAGATCATACATCATCATCAGACTTGTCAGAAAACATGACATGTATGTATAGGCCAGTGGCGGTTCTATGGGGGGGGGGGGGCGGCTGCGGCCGGGAGGCTTTAGCCCCCCCAAAAAATGTGTCCTGCCCTGCCCCCCAAAAAAACAAAAAATCCATAAAAATAAAAATGCACTAGCAAAATGTAAGAATTTGACGTACATGGGAACAGTCTCTCCCTAAATGAGAAGGGTGCATTTGTAGGCCGGCGGCCTACACTTTTAGTTAATATAGTGTGCGTGATTGTAGGATTTTATCAGCGCTACCCATTGAAAATATGGCATGAGGCCCCCCCCCCTAAGGTAATTAGTTTCCTTTCAACCAGAACTTAGATAAAGGAAATAGGATAAAGTAAACAATTCACAACATAACATTTTCAGGGATTTTAGACCGTTTATTAATTCCCTGTTAAGCGACATGCAAAACCAACAGGAGTGCTGCGGTTAGAAGACAGAGTTTTGATTTTTGTGGGAAATCTTGAGGTTAACATGGTCAAACGAAGATGAACACAACGAAACATATCCCTACAAACAGAGCTGTATTGTAATTGGCTCTCTTTTGTCTTTGGTCTTTTGTCTTCTAAAGGCAGTTAGGTGCCAGTCTATTTTCTCTTGTATTCCATGTTTTCAATACCTTAAGTTTTGGGATGCACCATGTTAAGTCTGAGCCAAGTCTCCTGTATAACATGTACACATGTAGCATGCAGATTTATGCGATCTCGTGCCTCAGCCAATCGGAGTCGACTTTACTAAATCGTGACGTCATTTCATTCCCAAATCAGGACTAAAACTGTGATTGGTCAATTCGAATGCAGTGTTTTGTAATACAACAACAGCCAGGCGCTTGTCGCGTTACATAATACAGAGCGCGTATCCACAGCCTTTGTTGCTGTGTCTGGGGGATTTTTTTATCCATGTCTAACTACAATGTATGACGTGACAACGGGTAAATGACCGAAGACCCGATATAAAAAACGCCTGCTGACTGGTCAAAATCCAGAGGTCAAGATGCGGTTGTCTTGCATAATTAATCAGCGAATCTGCTCAAATGTAATAGACCATGGCGTACGCCATGGCCTGTTACATAGACTAGACAATGTACATAGTACTGAGAGTCCCAAATTTTCGGACTAGTTTAAGTTTAGCCATGGAGGAAAGGCGATCGAGTATCTACGGGCCCGGTTCCTATAAGGGAAAAAAAATCCACTTTTGAATTATTTGACCTACCAAACTCGTTTAGTTAGCGACATTAAGAACACACAGCCTACAGCCTGGTATGTCATAGATAATGGGCAGGGTTTTGAATTTTTGAGGGAAATTTCGGTGTAAAATAAAAAATGAAGATGACAACGACAAAACACAACGCGAAAATACAGACATGAAAGATGGCGATCACCGCGCGATGTACCGTGAGCGCGCAAGGCGCGCTGAATGGCACGGCACCAACCATGCCAACCGTAAACAGCGTAGGAAAATCGTAATTTCGAAAAGATTTCCATATACATATATATACGAAGTTCACTCAACACCCTGTGTACAAACCCTATGAGATTGGACTGAAAAATTGTAAGTGTTTTCTAAGAAAATGCTTGTATTTTCTCACTGCTCAAATTGACTTTGATGACATGAAATTGCTATCTGGGGGCTTGTTAGTCAATACAGAGGAAAATTAGTGAACTTCGTATATGGAAATCTTCCTATAATTTCTACCAAAGAAACTGTTCAAAAATTACAAAAAGATGTCATTATACAACTACAAAGTAATTATTGAGAGAAGTCTGCTTAAACCATGGAGCTACATGTATAAACACAAGGTTGAAAATGTCGTTTTTGAGTAATAAAAACAAGATAGTGGATATTTTGCCGGCGGTAATTCCGGCAAGCTAATGTTTACTAAAGGTTTGCCAGCGGCAATCCCTATCAACAGAGGGCGCTGTACTAAAGATAGGGCTGAATTATAAGATATATTAAATTACCAACAGTTGTGTAGCACCTGTTATAAGTGGCCAATCTACATCTACATCTACATCTACGCAGGTACTCAGCAAAGTCCACTTCTGGATGTTAACGCTGAGCTGAGGCCAATTTACTGGACTAGGCCCTACCTCCGTAAATAAAGGCCACACTTGGACTTCCACCATTATATGTACAAAACATGTCGAACTTTGTCAAATTTTGTTTTTCGCATTGAGTTTGTAGTTTATTTTTGCTTAAGAAGCATACTCACCCTCTGTGTAGGCTAATCGGAAGGTGCTGCCTTTTTCAGATGTCTATTTTTCGTGAAATTTCCAGATTCGTTTGCACACGTTTGCGTATCAAAATTTCAACATGAAATTTCACAAAAATCAGACATCTGAAAAAGGCAGCACTTTCTGATTAGCATACAGAGGGTGAGTAGGCCCTATGCTAAAGCAAAACTTTAAGTATAAAAAAACAGTAACTGCACATGTTCAGTGCATATCCGGCAAGCTAACGTTTACTACGTTTGCCGTCTCCGGCTAAATATCCACTGCCTAAAAAACAACTCTTGATTCTAATTTGCGGATCGAAACAAAAAACAGGGACCCTAGACTACATGATCGCCAAAAAACCAAAAAAAAGAGGAAACATTGAGTAGAGTTAACCTCACGTACTTTAGGATGATTTTCCAGTCAAGGAACTTACCGATGATCTTTAACGATTGTGCTAGTGGAGAAATTGAATCGGCAACCACTACTAGTACTAGTGGCACTAGTGAAACAACTGACAACTCAGTTCCGGCCTCGATCACGCGTCACGCGTCCTTCGACTTATTATTGTTAATATTCTTATACAAACATTATGACGAATTATGTCACGAGACTGCTAGTGTATACATGTAGTGCCCGTATAACAAAAGCTCACAAAAATATAAACTTCTAAATAAAACACCAACATGCCAAAGGTCCCTCTTCATCCAAAGGTCTCTCTAAAAAGTCTAAACAATCATCCAAACCGCCTACACCAAAAACGCAGCTAGCCCCCACGTGAGCGGTCACGTGGGCTTAGCTGTTTTCAAAACGTCGCCTCTAATGGCTTCGGCTTTGACTCTGCTTTTTATATCATTTGGGAAGCCACGTTGACTGTCTAAACCCTATGAAAATCTTCTAAACCCTGCCTCATATTAAAAACATGATTCTTTGTTTTTGAAGTAGATCACAAACCTACATAATCCTGTCACAGTGTCCCAAAAGTCAAATTCCAAGTCACCCAAAGCCGAGTCTGAAACGAGGTTCAGGATTTGAAAAAGCTCGGTTATAATTTCTTATACTAGTAGTATAATGGACGTTCATTCGCGAATCATGCACAAAACAAAGAGGACATGTATTAATTCCTTATATAGGTCTTGCTATTTTTTCCAGTGATGTTTATGGACTTATGGTAGGGTAGATGAAGTCATAATCACAGCCATTTTCTGACATGCATTTATTTTCTACTGGTCACGATAGCAATTAATTAAGGAATCATGTTGTACTTCGTGATGATGACATCAAGTCCTACTCAAGTTTCATAGGCCCCTATTCATTGTTTATTTTGAAACGAAAAACAACTATATAACTTTCCTTCAGATAGACCTACAAATATACATAGACACTGGCAGCAAATGTTTGGGTATCATTTTCATTCTATATTGCGACTAGCATTCTGCCAAATCCGATTTTAGGGATTAAAGTGCCTACCCCAGGTAGGCATCGACGACGTAATTTTGATTGAAATCTCAACGGGTAAATGCAACGTAGGGAAAAATCTCTTCAACAGAATCATAGAGTTTACACTTTCTAATGAAATTGATGAGGTGCACCATGGGAGGCAGCTGATGAAATCATCGTTATCCTGTCAAGAATTGGCATCCACGACGAATTAGAAAGGCCATCGAGACCTACAACCACCACACCGTTCCCCAAGACATTGGTATCATCTTGGTGGCATCCGGCGCCCCCTATATCCACCAGCCCATTTCCATATGAGTCTCCTATACCCTCTGCCACCGTACCCACTTCCGACACAGCAGTGCAGTCAGTAACGTGAGCACACATCCCATTCCTCCACCAACAGCATCCTGACCCAGGCGCGGATCCAGGTGGAGGGTTTTGGGGGTCAACCCCCCCCCCCCCCCAGCTCTGTCAAAAAAAAAATTATCATACAAATTCCTTTAAAAAAATGCGACCCCCCCCCCCTGCTGTGACACCCAAAAAGAAATTATACTGGTATAATGTCCGCCTGTTCAAAATTTGAATAGCGCCCCTATTGAAATATGGTACCAGCCCCCCCCCCCCCCTTTGAAGGCCCGTCTTTAAGGAAAAAAATGATTTTTTAAAAATCCTATAATAAGCCAAAGGCTTAAGCAGCGTTGCTAATAAAGATACTACAGTTGATGAAACAAGTATTCTGTCATTTTCTTTGTTGTTCCTAACAGTCAGAACACACAATATTTTTTTTTTTTTGGCGAAATTGATTTTAGGGTTACTTCGTTCAAATAGTGATACAATTTGAACGTGTAGAGCAATCGAAATTAATTTCTTTTATAAATGGGCTTCCAAGTCATACCGGTAACTTTTTGGTGCTACATATATTTGGGGTTCCGCTTTTTTTTACTCGCCCTGTATGGTTTCTGACTAGCGCGCCTTGAATTGAAAAATGTTGGGACCATGAACATAGGGCTGGATAGCTCAGTTGGTAGACCACCGGGAAGGCAATCCGGAGGTCGCAGGTTCAAACCTAGCTCCAGTCCATTTCTTCGAAAAACCATTTGAACTAGTGAGGGCGCTATGCTTGACACATGCAGCGCTGATGACGGCCGCCCGGCCGCGTGCATTATTTATTCGTGAAGAACGATCAGAAAGTGGTGAGTTTGATGGGTTGCTCTGCATTGATTTACCTATTAAAATAAATACATGTACTCATATATTTCATTACCATTATACAAAAGGAACCTGTCTAAAGGGGGAAAGGCCGGGATTTTTAATCGTAACTCTACCTGCCTTAGCGCAAGTTTATTTGATTTTGTGGGATCGCAAAGACAGCACGGAGCGCACGAGCGAGCTGATGCACCCTGCACGACCGTGTGAGTCGGGTCCATCAACATCCAGCACTCGGTGAGTGTTGCTGCGGTATAACTAACTGTGCGTACATGTAGTCTTTGTTGAACTTGAAGTCCAGTAAAATAGTGGTTGTTGCAAGTAAATGGTGAACAGCAGTAGCGCTGTAAATTACTCTAGTGCTGGATGGTAGTCATGGTAGTGATGTTGTCACGCCCCAACTATCGCATCGGTCCCAACTATAGTTGGGACTGTCCCAACTATAGTGCGGCAGTTGGGTCGGCCCAACTATAGTTAGGACTGGAGTTGCGCCGGATGCTTCATGCTTGATAGATCTTGTTGGATTAAATGTTCCGCGGCGCTGGCGCCATGTATTCGTTGTGCATGCATGCCGCAAGGCTGGCCGGTCACGTGGTACTGCCTAGTTGGATGAGTTGTCCAGCTGCTGGGTTGATTGTCCAGCAACATTTTGCAAAATTCAAAGATTGCCATGGCCGGCCAACTATAGATGGGCCCCACCCATAGCTAATGTCAAAGGTCCCAAGTAAAGTCGGACAGTATGTAACAGAGCTGTAGGGAATGTTTTATAGTCGTCGTACATCAATGTTTTATAGTCGTCGTACATCAATGTAAACTATAGCCAAATAAAAATATTGCGGTGGCCCAACTACAGATGGTCCCCACCCATAGATAATTTCATTGGTCCCAAGTAAAGTCAGATGTGTATTAGAGTTGTAGGGAATGTTTTATAATCGTACAACAATGTACACTATAGTTGGGACCGCAAAATAAAAAGATTGGAGTGGCCCAACTATAGATTGGCCCCATCAATAACTAATTTCAGTGGTCCCCAGTAAAGTCAGACGTGTATCAGAGCTGTAGGGAACGTTTTATAGTTGTACATTAATGTACACTACAGTTGGGACACCGCAAAATAAAAAGATCGGAGTGGCCCAACTATAGATGGGCCAGCCCAACAGTGGAACTTACAGTTGGGACCGTCCCAACTATAGTTGGAACAGGCCCAACTATAGTTGGACCAGCCCAACTGTGGAACTACAGTTGGGACAGGCCCAACTATAGTTGAGACAGGCCCAACTATAGTTGGGACCGATGCGATAGTTGGGGCGTGACAATGTCAGTGTGTTGGATTATGGATGCATGCGGTAGAAAATATGGCGATCGTAGTAGGGCCCCTGTTTTGTTTCGATCAAATTAGAATCAAGAATTGTTTTTATTACTAAAAAATGACATTGTCAACCTAAAGCAAACTTCTCTCAATGTAATGACACCTTTTTGGTAATTTTTGAACCTGTTTCTTGGGGTGGAAATTACGATTTTCCTACGGCCATGCGGTTTACGGGCCGGTTGGTGCCGTGCATGTGCAGCGCGACTTGCGTGTTCATGGTACATCACGCGGTGATCGCCATCTTTATTTTCGTGTTGCGTTCTGTATTTGTCATCGTCATTTTACCCCGAAATTTCATCAAAAATTCAAAACCCTGCCCTTTATCTATGACATGCCTGTATGTTCTAGTGTCGCCAACTAGTTTGGTAGGTTAAATAATTTAAAAGTGAAGTTTTTTCCCTTATAGGAACGGGGCCCGTAGATATACGATTGCCAAAAAATTTAACATTGTTGACTGCTAGTGCTACTACTACCGTAGTACTACTGTACTAGTGTGATGTGGGACATGATGAAGTGAAGCGGACGAGGGTGCTGTGTGCCCTCCAGGTGACTGTTAAAAACGTCATATCCCACATCACAGCAGTCAACAATTGTTCAATAATAAATAAATAATAATTTGTCGGGTGCACCACTTTGTGCACACAATACCTCACTTCGTGGTGCAACCGACAAATAATCGGATGGCTTTAATATTGGGAAGGATGCAAGAATATATTGCAGTACATGTTTTCATATCCCCCTCAAAGCAATCCAGTAAAAATATTTGTTGTTTTGGCTTGTATAAATTGGCAAATAAAGGTGTGCAAAAAGCATGATAAGGCTCTTGTTTTAGTAATTTAATCATTGATGATTTTCATAGAAAATGCCTTTATGATGTAGCACTAGCAGGAATGCTTGTGCTTGCTCTCTTGCTTGTCTTTTGAAATTTGAATTCACTCTGCAAATGTCATTCTCCTAACCACCCAAAACTAAAGTGTTTTCAAATAAGGTGTTTCACGGTAATATGTGCCATTTTGCCGACGGGGCAATTTTAAACTTCATGTACCTGTTTTTAAAATAGACATAATTACCAGTGCCTTGTGCGCTGCATTTGTACCGTACGACAGAAAAGTATTATTATATTATTATTATGACATGCGTTGCTGTGTCTGATCATCAATGAAAAATTTTGGCGTTTCCAAGTCATCAAACGATCATCCTAAAATGCGCCCGCGTCTAACAACGCGTGTTCAAGATGGTGCATAGATGGTGCATAGGCCTACTGTGAAACAGATCCTGACAGACGTACACGTGTCTGCATTGAGTTGCGTGTATCCCTGCATAAATTGGTATCCAAATGAAACAATACATTTTCATTATTCTTATTTTATGCAAAAAAACCCACACACATTAGGCCTACTCTTTGAAGCTACTTTTGCTATGTACATTTTGTACACTGAGTTGGCATGAACACAGATAGTGAAATTATGGTTGACATTTGACATTTTTAGTCCATTTACATGTACTTTATACACATGTAGGTTTTCTGTCAAATCAGAATGGATCTAGGTATGCTCAGCCATACAATTCTACAGTGAACAGTACACATTTTAATACGCTACTGTACATGTCATGTCATGTATGTCAGTGATCACCCACGTGACTGCTCAAAATTGACAAGAGCCCATTTGTTTTGTGTTTCTCCAGGGCAGGGTTTTAAAATCTAATTTCACCTTTTTTGCATGGTGACTACATGTAACTATTGCCATGTACAAATGTGTAGGCCATCTACATGCATACACATTGCAGCACAGGTGTTTTATCTCCTACATGGAATGTGCATCAACGCCCAAGATATCAGTTTCCCCTTGTGTAAATATAGTCTCAGAGATATTTGTCAAAACTGATGTGTGAAACTACTGGCACATATAAATGACCATAAAAAAAATACATAAATATTACAAAAACATGAGTGCATGATCTACATGTAGTTGTCACTGTGTCAGCTCCATAATCCTTAGAAAAAAAATTACTGATGATAATTAACCATATTTAGACACCTTGGTGTGTATTTCAAATTTCAGCCATTTTAGATGTTTACTCACGATTCATGTCTGTGGGATCCCTGGAAAAGGAGCACACAGGGGCCAATTTCACGGCGCTGCTAAGCACAACAATTTGCTTAGCACAAAAAAAGTCTGGCTTGTAAAAGCAGGTTACCAGCCAAAACTCCACGTGATGTATTGCTTGTGATTAGTATCCAGCTGTTGTTTGCTTTGCATGAAAATCACATAAAGTTTTGGCTGATAACCTGCTTTTATAAGGCAGACTTTTTTGTGTTAAGCAAATTTTTGTGCTGAGCAGTGCCGTGAAATTGGGCTGTTAATTGACTACACACTGTCATGACTGTGCAATAGGGCAAGTTCGATCAAGGACCATAGTTAACCGTAGTTCGACTAACTCTGATCGAACGCACGCTAGTCAACAATGATTGTATTAGTCTAGTCAACTATTCAGGACCAGCCTATCGGGGTTAGTAGCGCAATGATTTATAGCTGGTTACCAATAGCAATTTTCATAGCATTGTGCATAGGGGACCAACTATCAACAAAAATAGAGGTAAACCGAAACTGTGAGTGCTAAATTTTGATTTTCATTGCATCGTTGTTTTCATGTTAGTTTATGATTCTGTGGCTTTTCCCACCATTCCATTGTAAACTACAAAATAAACTACAAAATCACCATTAATTATTTGTGTAAATAAACAGAAACATCAAGTGTTGAAAAATCGTGCGACCACCATTTTCTCACGGTCGTTGACATGACAATATGTAGTTCAACCAGAGTCGTTTGCACTTCAACTTCAGTGCGCATGTGCTGGGTACGTCACAAACCAACCACTAGTTATTAAGCACTGGTCCTCGATTGAACTTGCCCATGGTTATACACAGTACACACGTACTGGTGCAGACACATGTATCAACTACATAAATTGTAAGGCTGAAACGATACATCGATATATCGGTGCATCGCGATACATTCGTTCACGATACGATATATCGGTACGAATGTTTGATATCGATATTATTAATAATAATATAATAAATAACAGCGGCAGTGCACCGAAAGAAAATTGCAAGCAACTGCGATGCATGAGAAGCACGAAATGTAAAAATAATAATGCGAAGAGTGGAAGTCTCACCTTTCCGAGCGCACGCACGTGAAAAGTTCATGCGGACTCTCCGTCATGTCCGTTTTCTTCAGGTGGTGCATGCATTTCATGTACCGTAGTACCTTACTGTATTTGTGTATTATCAGAAACGAGTAGAGACAGATTAAAGAGGACTTAGACCCTGATTAAGTTCATCTGTTATGATTTTATTAATTTTTTTATACCAAGATATATCGCGATATTTATCGTATTGTTTGATATGTATCGTGATACGAATTGTATAGTGACACAGGCGTATCGTTTCAACCTTAATCATTGTTAATAAATTGTGTACATTTCTCCCTCTCACATGTAGTATTACCCTACACTACGACACTACGACACTACGAGTATTACCACTACGACACTCCACAGACATGCAGAAATCACGATACATACATGTACATGGTATACACATCTTTTTAGGCATAGCCATATACCGGTATACATGTATGCCTGTGCCAGCACCTGATGTGTCAGTTATATTTTATACCAAGGAAATTGTTATTTGATTTGCGTGGTGCAGGTGACATCTCTAACCCGTTGCTTCGTCATCTGTTGCCATGGCGATTCATGTTTATTGATTTGTCCCTCCCATTACCCCCTGGATCTACCACGTAATTAAATCTCATTGTCCCATCATCAGGAAGGGTTACGGTGAAGCTGCAGCCAGCCTGCCTGCGTAGATTTGCTTGAAGTTGTGCTTGCCTGGATTTGCAGGTTGCAGTGTGGTTGCTTTGTCTGTTCAGGTTGGGTTTGTTGGTTTGTCTGGTCAGTTTTGGTTTGTTGGTTTGTTAGATGGATGGTTGGCTGTTTTGTTGGCTGGTTGGTCTATAACTTTGATGGTTGGGTACATCTACATGTAGCTGTGATTTAGACTGTGCCCACTTTCATTTCATCCTGAACATGTACCGGTATTTAGAATCCGTACCATGCACATGCACATGTACACCATAAGTTGCTCATGTTTGTATGATTTGTGTTGATTGGTTTTGAGATTTGAATTTGTTGGTCCTAGAGAGGCCAGCCTATAGACCATTATCATGTTGCGGCCATCTTGATTTTTTTTTCCCATTCAAATCAACGTAACCAAAGCGAGGCTGGAAGGAAAAATGGTCTGGTTCCTTTGTGCACACAAAACATTATCATTCAGTACTGTTATAGGATACAGGGAACATTCACTGAAATGGTGGCTGCATGATAAAGGTCTGTAGTCCTCTTTGTACCTGACTGATTGATTGACTGACTGTCACTTGTGAATTAGTCTTGCATTATGAGTCTCATCTTGGCCCAAAATTTGACTCTGATGATTAGCTACTGTAGATCCCTTGCACCAAATTTGCTGAGACCAGGTCTTGTATTCAAATGTCAGACAGTGGCCAGTAATAGTCCACTGTTATCAGTTAATTTGGCTGTGGGTGTTTACACAGTTAGGCCTATAATTGGCACAGAACTGACAGCTGTCACTGTGTCAGTATTAAACCTTAAAAAGGTCATTAATTCCCGCCGCATACGAGAGCTACGTGCTTAACAAAAGCCATTTGAGGCCGTTTGCTCAGTATGTAACTCACAAAATATCCCTGTGTGCAGTGATTTTTTTGCTGAGTTTTCTGCCTCGCGAGGCTGGGAGGCAAATATCTATCCTGTTTAATTTCTTTCGCCTCACGAGGCGAAAAACCCATCGTGTGCAGTCAACCTGAGCTACATGTACCGCTACCTGCTGAGCTAAAAAGATAAACTACAAGAAGCCAATTGATGAAATCACAAACTCTGTATGTGATTTTGAGATATTTTGGTGCAAATCTTCTAAAGCCTGCTGGCGTTTGTCCCCAAAGTACTGTACATACCGATATATGTACATGTACATGTAGCCCTCGTTTGCGACGGGCTTTATGGTAGATTCATGCAAGGTTTGAATTCTTTTAGACATACCGTCTTTAACCCTAACTCCCTAGGCCTTTTTGCATGGCCTCAATCTTGCAAAATCCTCCAATTGGCCTCATGGGAAAATAGTATAAAGCTTCAATCCTGCAAATTCCTCCATTTTTTCTTGAATATGGTCTGTGGAGGGGTGACCTCTGCCTGAATCCTGCAAAATCCTGCAGCAGAGACCGTCAATATGTTCAGGCTTGGCCAGTGACATCCTGGAGCAGTATGGAAAATTTCAAGCATAATCCAGGCCTATAGGCCAACATGTACATGTATGTATGCATGGCTGAGCAAAAACAACACACGGTCCAGCCCAAGACCTTGACAAAGTGCATCCTACGAAATCAGTAATGCACTTTTGCCATGTAACCTCAATCATCCGAATTTGTCCACTTTGGCAAAGAGGATTATGAAGGATTCAGGGCGGTTAGGGTATATTGGACAGCTGCATATACAGTGTATACTATTTGGACTCATGAAATTTACCAATTTACAGAAAAAGGAGACAGTTTTTAATCTGAGCGTACAAAAATAAAACCTTTTTTGCCACAATGTGCCAATGTTGAGGAATGTCTGGTGCAGTTGTAGCATATAGACATAAAACAGAAAAGAATCATCAATGATTTGTTTACATTGAAATCAATTTCAGTAAGTTATATTTATTTTGTTGTGATTTTTTTGTTTTGTGTATTTTGTATGCCTAGAGTTTGGAAACGGCCTGGAGATCATCTTGTGAATGACATAGTGGCATCTGAAGAGTAAGTCATTTAAATGTTTTCTATGTGAATTCTGTGTATGGGTATGGGTCATTCTATAATTTAGGGTGCAAAGTGTGACATTTTTCCTGTCCCTGTTACCTTGGTATTTTGTCAATCGCCATTCAAATATCCTTAAGAATGACTTCAAATGTTGTTTTTTAAATTGTTAGATTAATGACCCAAAACGAGCACAACCCATCAAAGTTCAACAGCAGGTTTGTGTTTAAATCCTGTTGGGATAGGTACAGTTCCCCTAAACAGATGGTCTTTTACACTGGGGTTGGCATACCTCCAGAAACTAAGTTCAACAGTGTGTTTGTACAATTTCCCATGTGGGTTTTGGAATTTGCCTGAATGGGTATGGTTCCTAGTAAATTAGGCTGGGGAGTTGGGGTTAATTAATGACCCAAAACGTCGCACAGTAAGGATAACTCAGTGCTGAAGAATGTGGTGTGACTTGCAAGCTACCGGTATTTGCTGTAGTTACAAATGTATATCCTGTACATCATTTTTCTCCTTTTATGGGAATTCGGTTAGCTACTCGCGAGCACTCGACTACTCGTGAGTAATTTCTTTGCGAGTGCTCGAGCAGAAAAATCGACTGCTCGCCCAGGCCTAGTAGTCACGACTATTGATTTTCAGATACCGGTAGGGCCAAAAAAAAATAATAGTTCTGCTTCCGGTTTCCCTACCTACCCTATTCTGACAACCCCTACCCTAATTGTATTATTGGAAAAATGAGAAACAAAACACCCAAAACCACCAATTTCTACATTTTACACTTGACTACACGCAGACCCCTCCATATGATCGTACACAAAAAAAATTGGCAAATTTTTTTTTTAAATTCCCTACCTACCTACCCTATTTTCAAATGCCATGTAATCGTAAGCAGAACTTTTTTTTTTGGGCCTAGTCAAGTAGTCTTTATTCGGCATGTTGCGACTACCGCGCTACAAACTCAGCGCCACACCGAAGAGACTAGTCACAGTGATGTGTAATACCACGCCCAGGTGATCACACGACGAGACACTCACAGGACGTGCACATTGTACATTGTGAATGTACCATGCTCTATAGTACATTCAGTCACCTGCACAAAGGGTGATGAACGCTGCGCATGTTCAGTGTCAGATTGCCCATGCACTAAGTGAGAAACTTACGTGTAGCGTTGCATCATAAACGGTCTGGTATACGTCCCTGGTTGCATACACGCGTGTATCCCGTGCACGTTGCTGCATGAATGCAGTCTTCAGATAACAAAGTTCTCCACGTGCTTTCATTTTTGATACGTCACGTAATTGTGGCCAGGATCCCTGGTAAAAGAATTCACCACTACAATTGTACATGTACAGTCGCAATTAATCGCCAAGCGCCAGCCATTTCATACCATTCATAATAACAAGACGCAGGGTCACAACGTTTATATGCCAATCCTGAAAACGTTTGATGTCAACACTACTCTGCCAATCTTTGACTTTTGGAAGTGGCTTTAGAAGTTGGAACATTGCCAATGAATCTCTACAGGTCTACAAAATTTGCATGAATATTTTTATATAATTTTCCCGATCTGTTGCTGATCCACCAGTCTCGAAAAATTTTTTTTCAGGACTGTGTAAGTCCGTTTATTTTAAACATGGATTCTAGATCACATGCATATTGGTCAAACAGAATTGAGCATGCTGGGCATGATAAGCGTCAATGATCGTGTTACACTACTCAAGCTGAATCATGTTTAAATACGGTACACCTGACTACGGTACCTCTGTCATAAATTGGGGAAGGTTTTATGCATGATTATTCCACCAGGGGTAGTTCCACCAATTGTGTTGTTCCAAGAATAAAAGGCCAGATTGTCATTTTTATACCGGAATTCATGAATGGAATTTACTTCCTTACAGCATCAAATGTTCCAATAATCATCAATTTAAGAGAGAAGTCTTAATGCCCTTAAAATGGCAAAATGAAAATTGAAAACAAGAAGTGGGACACAAAGGTGCATTTTCAAGGATTGCATTAAAACAACACAGGCCCTTTAGGGCAATAAACATAATTTACAAAAGTGCACAATTCAGTTTTTCTAGGCCCAAACATTCAAGTCTTTTAATTCGGGCGAGTCAGTAGTTTCGTAAGCGTATGATTCGAGGATCTGTTTGCCCTTTTCTTTTCTTGTTATCAATATGGTGTTTTTTGTGAGGCGGCAGAACGCTATGCCCCAATCTATAACATATATTAGCTCAAGTTGTCTACTGACACTCATTCGTGGGTCATGTTTTGTCGACGGTAAACTTGGAAAATGGACTCTCCATGGCAAACTCTTGGTGGCGCACTGCATTGTGAATCGCCTGAATTGTGTAAAAAGGGGCTGCGGGCTGGAAAAATTGTTTTCTGTCTAGGCCTACCAGCATGACCAGTGTACAAATTACTTACAAAAGTATGCACATACATGTACATATACATTATGTGCAGAGTACCCATTCATTGTACACATGTTTTGTATCTCCCTGTCCTCTACGTAGCTCACCTTCCTTCGTCCCCTAGGCATATCAATGTGGTCAATTTTATGTGTTTTGAAGGTTTAACTGTATTTTAAGTAACACTTCTATAATTAAATTAATTGTATTTTCATTGAATTTTTTAGCTGTGCACCATCTGTTTTTATATTCAGTTTATTGCTTTAGTTTAAATGTGCAAACAAATGACAAACTGAGAAATATACATTATTTTTCATGCTGGCATGATGAATAAATGAAAAATATTGAATTCAATAGAATTGTTCATGGAGGTTATGCTGCAATTTCAATGAAACCCTCTCCAGCAGGGTTCGTGTTCCTAAGCTCAGCACGAACACTTCAAATGTTTGCCTGTGGGCTGGATGTTGGACTTTGGTTTGACACTTGGAGACACACGTTCCTTGAGATGATGGAACACATTATCATCATATGGTCATGAATAGAATACATGCTTTAAATCCTTTTCATTGTTTGTGTACATTGATGGTTAGGCTATCTTCTGGTACGCATGCTTTTGATACCCTCCTATTGATTGATCAGTCACAGACTGTCAACAATTTCTTCCACTTCCTCTTCCATGCATTTGTATACAAGCTAGTGAAAACCAGTCGGATCACATTCATGTAAACACTGTGACTAGTCAAATTCCATCAACAGACAAAAAGAGGACAAAAGAGGTACATGTAAACTGGCACAACAATCACCTCCAGTCAAAGCATGGCTATATCAAATTAACAAGGGAATTCCCAACTGTTAAAAACAGTCAATTGATTGACTTTGACTGCTGTGATGGCATAGCTGAAATTGTTAGCAATAGAGGGGGGGATTTATAATAAAGTACATATTTTAATGATGGGCCGTGTTATGTTTTACAATGTGTGATGTCTAATTTGCATATTTTACATAAACATGATAAACACGTGTATAAAATTTGTCTACAGAAAGCTTCACGTTCTTTTCCAAGCATTTCCCTCCCCTCTGCCCATTCTTCTACCGGGGCACTTTGTGTAACATGAGCAAGTCTTTACCCTAAATGTACATAAATATGTACCGGTACCTTGAGCTTGATGTAATGTACATGTACCTTCAGCTCCATGGAAACGATCAACGTGATCGCATCAGCCATGTCAGCAAACAGACCATGTGAGGAGTCTCTATTTTAAGCACTGATCAACTTACTTGATAGCTTAACGGTGCAGACACACAGACCTGTACAAACATTATAGAATGCAATATTTTTTTTAAATATATTTTTCACCATGTATGGTTGAAGTGCTTATTCTCTACATTAAATAAAAAAAAGTTCAAATACATTGTAAGTTAAATGGAATGTACAACATTTGTTTTTGCTGTAATTTTCAGAAATGGATGGATTTGGGGGTTAGTATTTTATAGCAAATATTGTTACACTGACTTGTTTGACGTTTTGGGTTCTTTGATTCTAGAAAAACCAAGAAAAACAATCACTTCTTGTAGTCTGATTCCCTGACCCCACTTAAGAAGAAACGGAGCAATTTATAGCTATCAGAAAGTTGTAAAGTCAGGAAATCAGTCTAGCTGGCTTGTACCCGTTCACAGGTGTGTAATCGATTGCAAAGAAAATGCGAACTAACTAAATATGATAAATCGGCCCGACCAGCGTTGGAAATTGATACAAAATTACCACTTTTCTTGAAAATGTCAGCATTAGAGGTGCCATGATTTTACAAGATGTTTTAGACTGTCATTCGCTAACAGTCTAGTAAGGTATTTTGTGATAATTTTGTAGTTTTGTTTTTTGATGCTTGCAAATGTTGTATATTCCCTTTAAGTAAGCAGGTTAAAATTCCTGTCAAAAGTGGGTTTCCTTCTTTTTGCACCACTCTGTATACGTGTACACATGTACATGTGTTGGACATTTTTTACTATTAGTTCTCTACTGTTATTGATCAGCATGTCAGTTTGGAAAGTATGTCCTACTTTTAGCATCTCAATGAAATTGGGGTCATGACAGCTATCACACATATCAGAGTAAACACTTTGTGTTGATTAGCCCACTCCCCATCCTTCCTCCGGCTTCCACCACCTCTCATTTTCCAGCCAGTCCTATCTCCTTATCATCAATTTGATCTTCTCGCTTGACAGATTTTTATCCAAGAGGAACCGCATTTAAACCCCCTCCCTCTCTGTCTCCCAACCCTCCACTGCGTATCCAGGTCATCCTCAGATGCTGCAGAGGATGTTGAACCCAAGACGGATGTTTATCTCCATGACGACCAGTCGGCCTCATCGTCGGCGCACTGTCGAGAGAGGGGAATAAAGCGTCGTAGATTCATGTCCCATCCCCGGGCTCCGAAGAAGCGGGGGAGTTACTGGCCCTCTGGGTAAAGCTATTAGACTTCCGCTAGGGAGTGCCCAATTGGCTACCAATTGGTTTTTTGCCTGTTGAATTCTCAGTGATGGTTTCTTGACACGAATTTCGGAAGCAGAGTGCACTAATTTGCTGTAAATTAAAGAGCAAGTGGGTTTCCTGATTTCTTAACTCTATAAACAGTTTGCATGTGAAATGATGATTAAAATTGGGACTTCAGTTGGAAAATTGGATGCCTGAATAAAACCTGTACACTGCATACAACTCCAGAACTTAAATAGCTTGAGATACATCAGCACATAAAAACATTGATCACTTGCTTGATCTAAAATTACTTTCAGATATAACATCTATAGGCTTGGCGATGCAATCACACATATTTTGCCTATAAATTAACAGAAAATCTTTCAAAAACTGTAAGTTCATTGTCATTTACAAAACATTTTCCTTGTATTTCTATTTCAGAACTGTCACCAGCAAAAACCACGTTGTTCGCAGGTAAGTTCTTATTTTTGCTATATTTTCGTGGCATTGTGTGATTTCTTGAGAGTGCAGTGTTTTTATGAACCACTAGGCTCTATACAATAAATTAGATTTATTGGTGAACAAAGAAGTAAAACATTAAAGTGTTCTTCCTGGAATGACTTTATCATGAGCATATCTTTGATATTTCATAAAGAAATAAGGATAATTGATCACACTTATCCCTGTCGTCATTTATGCAGCCTAGCAGCTCATTAATTTGTCGACCGTTGAGTGAACAGTTAAGTGTCCTCCGTCCTATCCTGCACTAAGTTATCAATCAATCATTTTTGTTAGGGTCATTGACACGCATGTCATTTTATAAAGACACCCATTCACGAGTCAGCGCTGTGACCTCGAGATGACCTACAAGCAGGGAAATGACCAATACCTGAATACCTATTTGTATGATAGAATTCCTGTTGAAAAAGCAACATGTAGGCCTACCTAATTATTTATGAGACAATAGAATATACATAAAGCATGATCTGTTGCAATCAACGCAGGCACAGTGTCTCAACTGGTAAGTGTTAAGAACTTGGGACACAAATTCTTGTGATAATTGTGGGCTAGGCTGATATGTCTTGGCAGGGATTAAAAGCCACTCTCCTGGGTATGGATTGTCAAATTGATTTTATTGACACTGGCTAATTTGGAGTATTCAGAAATCCCATCCAGTGAGTTTTTCCATTTCAGAAAAAAACATTTTACATTGAATGAAAAAGTTATTTCCTTTCATCCCTCATGGTTAAAAGCATTTAAGCATTTTACAAATGCAAATGTTTGACATCACGGCAAGTACCCGGGCTCCATGCTGTCCAAAACATTAGGGTATTGTTCGTCGTCACTCTCTCCATTCTCCAACTCTGGCTAGCTACATGTACATGTACATGGAGTACTGTTTCCTTTTATACATGTAAGGAGTAAGATTGGGCTTTGTGCATGACATCAAGAAGTATATCTGTAAAGATGAATCCCTTGTACGTGTACATATTAAAACAGCTCTACGTAATCAGATCATCACGTGATGTTGAGTTGACAGTAGCCCTGAAACGATTAAGCCCTTGCCATTTATTTTATGAAGTTACATAGTGAGTATAAGGCTTTGCTGTAAATTTCCTAATTGTGACGATTGGTTTACTGGGCACCATGCATGCCATGTAGTGACATGTAGGTATACATATGTACATGTACATACTTCTACACGTAAATGTAATTCATGAACATGCACACATACATGTACGTGTACATGCATGTACAGTCGAGTCTCGTTAATACAAACTTGTTCGGACCTACCCAAATTGTTTGTTATATCAGAATTTTGTATTAAGAGGAACATCAGTCCCATTCATTGTGCACATAAATGCACAGTCAGGACTGAGGCTTTTTGTTTGTTATAACCAGAATTTTGTATTAACAGAGTTTGTACTAACGAGATTCGACTGTACATTGTACATGTGCACCTTATTATATTATTCGTACGGAATTGATTTTTCTGTCAATCCGTGCAAACATCTGTCATGATTCCACAGTCCTTTCTGTCAGTGTCATTGTCTGAAACAATAGGGCACTAATTGTCATTCCATCCCACTTGCTCCGTCCGTTCTCCACACTTGGCTGACGACGTTGTTGTGCAACGGGTAATTAGATCTGGGCCTCCGGCATTAAATCAGAAAGTGTCCATACAGGATATTTCCTTTGACTTTCATTCGTGTACCAGTACATAAAGAGGTACAGGTGCATTAATTAATTATGTGCAGAAAAAATATAGATACATGTAAGAGGTCAACGGCCGGCCGAAGGTAAGTCATTGTTGGAGAGTGTTAAAGGGAGTGAATCACTTTTATTTTCTTCCAGACTTTGAATAGTACATACATCTGGTGTGTTGTCTATAGTTTCATGTGTGTGGTGAAGGGAGACTTTTTTTTATGTGCGATATACGGGCTCAGCGCGCAAACAAGAGAGGGCGCTTTTTTAACCACTTTTAAGAGCTCAGTGGACGGGACACACCCCGTATGTGTACTGGTTCGCACGCGTAAAGCACGAAGTACACACAACTCATATTATTCTGTATGTGGGTCATTCCATGTCAGACCAACGCACTTTTTTACCTCATGTCTTCTGATTTTGATAAAAATTGCAGCGCTTGTAGGTCCCGATGAGCAATGAATGCACACCAATTTTTAGCCCGATCCGACCTACCATGTGGTCAGGGCAGAAACCACAAAAAAAGGACATTTTTAGAGTAAAATACCACCCTTTTGGTAGAGAGATGTCAAAACCATGTCAATTTTCATCGAATATATGCGAATTTGGTATCAAAATAATAAGAATTGCATGCTTAAATCAACTCTTTTGTCAAAATTAAATTTTGTGAAAAGGAGGTCACGTGACCTTTAATATGTTATCATGACCTTTGACCCAATTTATGTACTAATGTATCATTCCGAAAATCAACGAAAATAAAATGACTTGATAGAGCATGTCTTCCTTTATTAGAATCCACTAAAAATCAATTGGGGTCTTCAAAATTTACAACTTTATGACTATTTTTGTCAGTTGGTACCTAGTTACAAATGAGTCAATTTATAGACTTTACATGAGAAATTCACCAACACAACTTACTATTCTGTTTCTAAAGCTACTTAAATTAATCTTGGTTTTGGAATTTCTCATGTTTAGGGCTGATGAGGTGTAACCAGACTCATAATATAAATTATCAGCAGTGGCGCACCCAGGATTTTGCTCTTTTTGGGGGGGGGGGGGGCTCATAATTTGTTTGTTTTCAAATTTCTGTAGAAGATTGAAAAACAAAAATTACCCACCCCGGGGTGCCACTGATAATTAGTTATCCCACAAGCACGCTTGGAATATGAAACAATGCAATGCTGCTGTGACCCATATGCCACCCGACGCACTACATTATTCCGTGTTCCACGAGCGCAAGTGGGCTAACAAATTTATCTTCAAGCAAACTTGACATCGAATGCTTGATAGTCTATTGTCATCAGCAGTTACTGTTTAGGGTACGCAACAGCTTTATGCTTTCTACCCGGACCCAGTACAGTGGACACACATCCAGGTGAAATTTATCAGGGAAGGAAAAAATTGCCAAGTCTGTGAGACTCATTAAATTTCAAGAAGCGCAACTTGATTGCGATATTGAGTATTATGTTCAAGCAAACTTGAATCCTAGACCCTGATTAGTCCATCTACATGTATAGCAACAGTGTGATTTGATATAATACTGCACAGCTATATTGCGCCCCAGATATCGAATGTACATGTACATGTATGTATTGTGTTCTTTTTTATTTGCTGCTGAATGGTCCAATACACTATGCACCTACATCCCTCACCACGTGCAATGTACGCATTCGACATCAAGTTTGCTTGAAGATAAATGCGTTATATGGCTCGTGGAACACGGAATAATGTAATGTGTCGGGTGGCATATGGGTCACAGCAGCATTGCATTGTTTCATATTCCAATACCGCTCGTGGGATAACTAATTATCAGTGGGGGGGGGGGGGGGGGGGGGGGGGGCCTCGAGGGGCTTGAACCCACCCCCTCCAAGGTTGTCGATTTTTTTTTCGATCTCCTACAGAAATTTTACAACAAAAAGCTATGAGCTCCCCCCCCCCCCCACACACACAAAAAAGCAAAATCCTGGATGCGCCACTGCTGATAATTTATATTATGAGTCTGGTTTAGACCTCATCAGCCCTAAACAAGAGAAATTCCCAAACCAAGATTAATTTAAGTAGCTTTAGGAACAGAATAGTAAGTTGTGTTGGTGGATTTCTCATGTAAAGTCTATAAATTGACTCATTTGTAACCCACCAACGGTACAAAAATAGTCATAAAGTTGTAAATTTTAAAGACCCCAATTGATTTTTAGTAGATTCTGATAGAGGAAGACATGCTCTATCGAGTCATTTTCATTTCGTTGATTTTCGGAATGATACATGATTACATAAATTGGGTCAAAGAAATGAACATTTAACATATTAAAGGTCACGTGACCTCCTTTTCACAAAATTTAATTTTGACAAAAGAGTTGCTTTGAGCATGCAATTCTAATTATTTTGATACCAAATTCGCATATATTCAATAAAAATTAACATGGTTTTGACATATTTCTACCAAAAGGGTGGTATTTTACTCTAAAAATCTTCATTTTTTGTGGTTTCTGCCCTGACCACATGGTAGGTCGGATCGGGCTAAAAATTGGTGTGCATTCATTGCTCATCAGGACCTACAAGCACAGCAATTTTTATCAAAATCGGAAGACATGAGGTAAAAAAGTGCGTTGGTCTGACATGGAATGACCCATGTGCGCAAAGCCATAGCGTGTCTTTGCATGAGCATCAGGCATCATTGTGATGTGTTCAAAGGTCACTCCTAGTGGTCTCCCCTTGTCTGAAAATTTGGGACTCTCAATACTGTGTAGGAGAGTCCCAAAAATTAAGGTATTGAAAACATGCAATACAAGAAAATAGACTGGCACCTGAAACAACCAGTCCAACACAGCTTCAGTACTGCATCAATCAACTGTGTCGAAAGAAACATCTGGCATGAACGGGGAACTATTCTCTAATTTACTACACATTTCCCCATAGTCAGCAACCAGACTCATGACACTGAATGAAGAGGTCAGTCTTTTCAAATAGTTGGACAATGGTTAGACATGTACCAGTCTAGTCTTTAGCCTCATTTTCAAATCACTTGACTTCCCTCTCATGTGCAAAATATTAAGAAATGTCTCCTTTAAAAATTGAATTGAGTCTGCAAACTTGGTTGGTGAAATACAGAGGACTGTTTTCTTTGCCCAATGGAATTTTTGGAGAAATTTGCTGGCTAAAGAGTGAGTAAAGTTGGCCTGATTTAGTTTTGCACGTTTCAGAGCACTCCAGGTCCCAGTCTGGGTCTCCCCCAACTCTGCCTTTCTTACTGTTGAGGGGGTACTTGTACA